TAAATATCTGTGTTTTCCGATGGTCTTAGGCAACCTTGCTAGCAGTTCTCAACCTGTGGAACCCACAGGAAAACCATAGGAAAACATAGCTATTTACATTACAATCCATTAACAGTAGCAAAAATTAGTTATGAAGTAGCAACAAAAATAATTTTATGATTGGGGGTCACCACAACACGAGGAACGGTATTAAAGGGCCACAGCATTAGAAAGGTTGAGAACCACACCTCTAGAGGAATACCTGGCATGTAGTATATGCCCAATAAACATTTATTTTCTTTAATTTTTTTAAAAAATATATTTTATTGATTTTGTACAGAGAGGAAGGGAGAGAGATAGCGAGTTAGAAACATCGACCAGAGAGAGTCATCGATCAGCTGCCTCTTGCACACCCCCTACTGGAGATGTGCCCGCAACCAAGGTACATGCCCTTGACCGGAATCGAACCCGGGACCCTTCAGTCCCCAAGCCGACGCTCTATCCATTGAGCCAAACCGGTCTCGGCCTTATTTTCTTTAATTTTTTTTAAAAATGTATTTTATTGATTTTTTACAGAGAGGAAGGGAGAGGTTAGAAACATCGATGAGAATCATGGATCAGCTGCCTCCTGCACACCCTCCACTTGGGACATGCCCACAACCAAGGTACATGCCCTTGACCGGAATCAAACCTGGGACCTTTCAGTCCGCATGTCGACGCCCTATCCACTGAGCCAAACCGGTTTTGGCTAAGCATTTATTGAATAAATAAATTTGTAGTTTCAAAGACTCATCGTTTCCAGGGTAGAGGTGAAGTGGTAGAAAATGAAAAATACTGAACCATTAATTCCATCAGGAGATATCAAAACTTTACTGATGTTAAGATCAGCATTTCCCGTGACCCAAATGAGTTTCAATGTGAAAATTCTTATCTATTGTATCAGTGTCAGTAAAGAGTATGCTATGCTTTTGCATGATCTTATCATTGAGGGGACTGGATAAAGGCTACATGAGATAATTTCTTACAATTGTATGTGACTCTGCAGTTATATTAAAATAAAACATTTAATTTAAAAAATTCTAATCTAAAGGTAATTTAGTATTCATTCGGCCTGCTTATATAGTACTCACCCCAAAATGTATTTCCCCACAGAATATTCTGTGATGGCAGGTGCTCACAGACAGAACTTAAGCTACTAACAGAAGTCATTTCTGGGAGGCGATCTTTTTTTCCTGGAGCCGAGAACATTAGACTCTGTTATTCACCCCACACGGCACCTGGCCCATAGTCAGTGTTCAATAAATATTTATTCAATGAGCTAATTATTTCTGAGAATGCCAAAATGACATCCAGGTACAGCCTGTGAACTGCCTATCATAGCATTCCAACTTGGCAAGACACCAGCACCTAAGGTGGGTCTATAAATAACTCTGTAAAACACTCACAAAGCATTTAAGATGCTCAAAAGGTTCACGCATATCTAATTACTCAATTCTCCCATGAGTACTGCATTACATAGTAAGGTAGGACAAAGAAATACTGTTAGGCCACCTATAAAATAATTTTTTCTGTTTTTAAGAAAACATTTATTGATTTCAGAGAGGAAGGGAAGAGGGAAAGAGAGATAGAAACATCAATGATGAGAATCATTAATTGGCTGCCTCTGCACGCCCCCTACTGGGGACCAAGCCTGAAACCCAGGCATGTGCCCTTGGCTGGAATCGAACCCAGGACCCTTCAGATTGCAGGCTGGTGCTTTATCCATTGATCCAAACTGGCTAAATCATTTTTTTAAATGGGTACTGAGCCAAAACCGGTTTGGCTCAGTGGATAGAGCGTCGGCCTGCGGACTGAAAGGTCCCAGGTTTGATTCCAGTCAAGGGCATGTACCTTGGTTGCGGGCACATCCCCAGTAGGGGGTGTGCAAGAGACAGCTAATCAATGATTCTCTCTCATGTTTTTTTCTAACTCTCTATCCTTCTCTTTTCCTATCCGTAAAAAATTAATAAAATATATATAAAAAAATAAATGAATACTGAAATAGTCTGGTCTAATTAACCAATACCCTTTCTAAAAATTGACCAGTAAGCTAAAACCAGTTTGGCTCAGTGGTAGAGTGTCGGCCTGGAGACTGAAAGGTCCCAGGTTCGATTCCGGTCAAGGGCATGTACTTTGGTTGTGGGCACATCCCCAGTGAGGGATGTGCAAGAGGCAGCTGATGGATAATTCTCTCTCATCAATGTTTCTAAATCTCTATCCCTCTCTCTTCCTCTCTGTAAAAAATCAATAAAATATATTTAAAAAATAAATAAATAAATAAAAATTGATCAGTAAATCAGTGGTTTGGGGACAGTTGCACATGGAGAACCTATTTGACTTGTCAGTTCTGGTAAAGGATGAAGTATCAACCTCCTGGTTGTGTTTGTTTTTTCCTTCTATTTAGACAACAGTTAATGGTTAGAACAGCACACTTTTCTATTGTATCGACCCATTCAGCCAATCTCTATACTTAAGGAATGTTTGTGGGACCGACATCCTCTAAAAGCATTATTTACATGTTAACATTTCACTTCACTTATCAAAAGTTACAATCACTCCAAAGTTACAAATTATGACTAAGGTTTGATATAAACCAAGTTCTATCTGAGCACTTTTCTTTTATCACTTATATAACCAGGAATACTTCCTCCATGAAAGAGCAACTTTCCTGTCTAAACTGAGCTCTAAACCAAGGCCAAGTGGCTACTGCTCTTGAAGCTGATTAGTAAAACAAAGTACCCAACCTAACACAAAAGTTGATTTAAACGGATAAAAAGCAGGAAACCCGGAGCTGAGGTAAAACCAGCTCCTGACATGCCCCATTGTTCCCTGGCTCACTAAGACTCCCCTCGCTTTAGGTGGCCCGTATCTCATCTGGACTAAATACCAAAGCTGAATGCATCTATTTAAGGCAGATGTGGCCTCATCCTTAAATTTCCAGATTTAAATCACTGCTGTCCTTTGTCATTTATGTTCTAAAGTGGCAGCTTTTGTTAAGAGTAACCCAAGCAAAAGAGGCTTTATACGGAGGAGGCAGTTGGAAGACCGGTATAATATGCTTCTCTATTGTGTAGAAGAGAATCTTTGAAGTTTAAGTTTAGCAGACATATCAGCCCTGAATATTAACACTGTCTTATGAATGAGAGGAACTAGACTTACATATAGAAAGTTATTCAAGCTATTTTTTAAGTAAATCCATTTTAGAACTTACCTGTAAGGATGAACTTTTTTTCTGTTCCCAATTCTAGCACTGCCCATGATTCTTAACGTCCAGCAGAATCACCCTTTCATTTTCTTCTTTTCCAAACTTTTAGATTGCAGAGCACATTCCACACTCAGCCACAGAATGAGGCCGTGAAAAAAAACAAACAAAACAAACAACAAAACAAGGTTCTGTTCCAGAGAAACAGAAATCAATTTACGGGAGGCTGAGGGCTATAAGGAATTCCTTAAGTTTGTATTTCATGGGGTACATTTAAAACAGCCCTTACTCATGGCCTTTCCATGCTAGGTATGTTTTACTCCTAAGAATGACAGAAGTAACCCCTGAAAAACCATTAATCTTTTGGACTTGCAGCCTCCTTTCCCAAAAAATAATAATGCCTTCAAGTTACACAACAAGATGGTCAAGTTATTTAAAGTTATTAAAGTTAGGGCCACCTAAAATTTCTTCCTCCGTTTCAGTACCACTTTTCTGAAATGTTTTCAAGGGGGGGCGGGGGTAATCATGAACAGAAAACAGAGCATTTATGTCAGTATATGCAGGTTTGTAATGTATATGCATGACAGTACCAGGCAACAACCCCAAAATAAACAATTCCATTATAACATCAAAAGGAATAAAAATCTTAGAAATAAATTTAATAAAAGGTGCAAAACTTACTCAAAAACTATAAAACATTTTTTTAAAAAATCCAAAGCTGAAACCGGTTCGGCTCAATGGATAGAGTGTCGGCTTGGGGACTGAATGGTCCCGGGTTCGATTCCGGTCAAGGGCATGTACCTTGATTGCGGGCATATCTCCAGTAGGGGGTGTGCAAGAGGCAGCTGATCGATGACTCTCTCTCATCGATGTTTCTAACTCTCTATCTCTCTCCCTTCCTCTCTGCACAAAATCAATAAAACATATTTTTTAAAAAAAATCCAAAGACCTAAATAAAGGAGAAAACATCCCATGTTCATGGATAGCATTAAGATGGCAATACTCCCAGTCTGATCTACAGATTCAACACCATTATATCAAAATCCAAGCTGACTTCTTTAGATAATTACGCACTAAACATCATTTACAAGAATGGTTACATACTTCTTGTACCTAGTAGTTACTTCTGGTTTGTAGATGAAGGTTTTAGAAACTCTGAAACAGAAATCAACTGCATCAGTCCTCCATGCCCCTAGGACTCTAAGGTAAATTGATTGAAAACCCACACATAAGCCCTCATATCCAAACAAGGCCCCCTCTGAAACATAACCTCCTCACTACCAGCTTGGATCAACAGAACAGTCCAAAGTCCACCTGAAAAAAATATGTGGGGGTGGAGTGATAGGAGCTAAGGGAAATTGGAAACAAGCAAAAAATGCTCCTTGACTTCCTCCCCTACAGTCAGAGATCTAAGTACATAAAGAAGAAAAAGCATTTTAAAAATCTTTAACACTGAAATTTCTTGGGAAAAAGATCTGCAAGGCAATTTCCTTTAAATAAATGGAATATTATATTGTTTGATGTGAATCAATTTATACAAGTCATCTAGTGAGCGGAATTAGTATACTGTGTACCAGTCACGTAATGCAACAGAAACGCTGCATACACTCCAGACCCAGTGAGCCCCCCTCCATTAGAATGCAGGCAAAGTCAGCCTCTCTTTTACTCTGAAAGAGGCCAAAGGCTGAGCCAAGACTAGCTTTTACACATGCTTCCTCTGCCTCCCAAATCACCATAGAAAAGCAATATTTATTTAATAAACACACATACATAAAATTTATGCCACCGACAGGAATTTATTCTTCCATGAACTAATACAACACTCTGAATTGTCTACTTAGAGCTGCAATTCCATTCAAGATTAATGCTCATTAAGTTTTTAACACCAAAATAAGAAAAAGAAAAAAGAAAAAAAGATTTATGAAAAGAAAAAAGAACTGCTTAGGGGGGGGAAAAATGGAAAGCCCACCAAAATAAGTACACTCATTTACATTTGTAAATAAAAAAAGGCAGATGTCCCTTTACATTGACAGATGCCACCGAATATGCTAACCTACACAGACTCCTCCTTATACAAGACACACCGCATTGAATTGTGAGATCTGACACCTGACGACACAGGTAGGCGCAGGGCATTGACTTGGCCAAAGAGGCTCAAGGCTTTCGTGTGGAAGACCATCTGTTAACGACAGGTGCACTTTGTGGCTATCATGTCTTCATATTCTTTGTAAGCTATGGAGCCATCGGGCTCAATGGTCAGCACACTCAGAGGGCTGTACTTGGCAGGCACGCACGACGGTCTGGGCACGGAGGAGTCCAGCTGCTTCTCGTAGATGATGTTCTGCACCATGGTGTGCACCGGAGAGCCGTACCGGTGCCCCACCGCCCGCGGGCACTCCCCCTTGCAGTACCGGGGGTTGTACCTGTGCGGGGCCACGATCCAGTTGTCCCACTTCAGCTGGCTAAAGCTAAGTCTGAAGTCATGGAGCTCACACTCGTTCTGGGGGAACAGGAACTGTTTGAAGTATTCACTCAGATTTAGAGAAGCTGGAACCAGAGGCTTCTTCAGTGCCGAGGTGACCGTTTCCCGGCCTCTCCGGTGACGGGGCGATCTTACTCGCTGAGCAGCCTCTTCCCCTACAGGACAGGCAGGCAGGCCTCGCTGGTCGGGAACCTGGGAAGGGCTCCTTTTGTAGTGGAGCGAGTACCACCTGTGATGAGCCTGGGCACTGGTGTCATTCAGGTACAGCAGCAGGGAGGGGCGTACCAGGTTGAAGGGACTGTCCTGCACAGACGGGCGCTGCAGCTTGTCTTTCACGCACGTAAAAGCCACCGACACGTGGACACTTCTCTTGTCGGAGGCCACGAGAGGCTGAAGCAGGGCAGTCACATCGACCTCAACCCATTTGTATTTCTTTTTTAATTCAAACGGGGCCGTAAAGGTGCCGGAGCGCGGAGCTCGGGGGGGAGTCTTGCTGGCACTGGACTCTGGCTCTCTCAGCACCAGGTGGCACACACACTGAGCAGCAGAGGGGAAAGAGGCGGAGGTGTTGAAAGTATACAGCAACACTGACTTGAGGAGGTGCTCCACAGCGGTAACCCGGTCCAGGTTAAACAGCAGGTCCACAGATGGCACGGGTCCTGGGGAGAGAAAAGAGTCACCAGTAGCGCCTGAATACCATCCAACGGAACAGGAAGCCAAATCAAGGAATTGGTGCATTGGGATGTTGCTTTCTCCCTTCTCTTTTCCCACTTCTTCAAACCTCAAAAAATGGAAAAGTGGGAGAGGAAGGGTTTATACAGAAAACACAGGTAATTGGGACTATTACATAAGTAATTCCCAGCAATTATAAGTGAGTATTTTCTCACCAGAAGGTCAGAACAGCTTTGGTGGTGAACTGAAATAACAGGGCATTATAATACAGTTTAATTTCTAGAATCTTAATAATTTGTTCCAAACACAGGACGATAAATAAGGAAAATTCTATTGTTCTCTTGGGGAGTCTCTAGAGTAGGGGTGTCGAACTCAATCAGAGAAGGGGCCAAAATCTAAAATCCAGCCTAAATCGCGGGCCGAATGGTTTACTGAACAGTCATAAACTGTCATTGTGATGGAAACGCAGCGGAGTGCAGTGATGACAGTGCGGTGCGGGCCACATTGCAAGGCCTGGCGGGACGGATTTGGCCCGCGGGCCTTGTGTTTGACACATGTGCTCTAGAGGGAAAACTATAATAAAAAAAAAAAACACTAAGTTGGGCCCTAGCTAGTTTAGCTCAATGGATAGAGCATCAGCCTGCGGACTGGATCTGATTCCGGTCAAGGGCATGTACCTCCGTTGCAGTTCCCTGGCCCTGCTCTGGGTGTGGTAGGAGGCAACCAATGGATGCTTTTGGTGGTTTTTTGTTTTTTTTCCCCCCTCTCTTCCACTCTCTCTAAAAATCAATGGAAAAGTATCCTCAGGTGAGGATTAAAAAAAACCAAAAAAAAAAAACCTCACTAAGTTTGTTAAGCAGCCATTCTAAGCCTTAATGGATGGCGTCAATAAAGAAAGCTTAATTGTCTAAGTTAATTTGAAACACTTGAGATAGACCACAGATGGAGGGTCTAAAACTACCAAAATAAAATAGGACAGCAAGAAAGGAGGAAGGGTTTGAAACAGCCCCCTTGTGGGTTAAAACCATGACCCAGTCAATACAGTTTGGTTTTCTCAAGCACTGGCCCTTATACACACTCACCCAGGTGCTGAGCCAAACTCGGCTCTGTTCTTGTGAGGACCTACTTTCCTCTCACAGACAACAAACAAGGGGAAACAGTACGTATAACAAAGCATACCCATAGCTGGGAGACGCTGTACGCACATTTTCAGGCCAGCATTGGAGAATGGGAAAAATAAGCAGCTGAAAGTCAAAATACCGGGTTTCCAGTCTTACTTTTGTGACCTCGGGCAAGATGCTAACCTTCTCCAGCAGCATTCTCCTCAGCCTTTATTGCCACTGAGTCTCTTCTAGCTCTAACATTCTGTCCTCTTAGCCCACCTTAACCCACTAGAAGAAACAACAAGACCAAGTACCCGATTTGTCTGAATTTGGAAACTGAGAATCATGAGAAATAAAATGCAACTCAAGAAGTGAGGCCCAGCTCTTCCTGAAACGGAGTGCAGCCCAGTCTATCATCCTCCCTCCACCCGCTAACCAGCCTGGTCCTACGCACCTGTCACCTGGTCCACAGAAGCCTGCTCCTTGTGCTGGATGTGAGGGGTGAAGAGCCGCACAGTGTTGTAGAGGTGACTTCTGTTGGATTTGGGGATCCCCTCCTTGGTGGCATATGCCTTATAGAGCCTCTTCATGTAGCGCAAAGCCCTGGAGTCCGGCTGCAGCCTAGGGAGCCCCCCTTGCCCATCACACAGGACCTTGAAGAGCGGGGGAAGGAGGCCAGATCTGTCTCTCCCATCTGGAGGCTGCAGCCAGGACCAGGGCTCAGCCTCCGGTTCCAGTTCAGCACTGGCTGCCATCTGAGCTCCTCCCCTGGAAGCTAGAGAAGCAAGGCTCCTAGGAACACACAGCCAGGAAAAGCAGCCAAACCACAAAAAAAACTTGCTGGGAAGCGCCATGGCTTGGAAGAACTGGCAAGGGACCCAGCCATACCAGCCTTCTTCCTAAGCGCCAGGAAGAACCTAGGCTGATCTCTTAAATAAATTTTAGGTGTGTGGGTGGGTAGGGGCACTTCTGTAATCAGACCTCAAGGATGCTTAGCTGGAGATAATTTTTATCAGCTGTATATCAAACAGCTGATAACATCCTACTTTTATCCTCATTAGACACGGATTTGTTTTTTTGTGTGTTTTTTTGTTTTAGTTTGTTTTGTTTTGCTTTCCTCCTCTTCCTTTCTTCTGGCATTTAATTTTAAAACCTCTTAAGTTATTGTTATACTAATGCACCAGCTATGTAGCTGAAAGGCTAAGAGAAATTATCTTAAAAGAACCCATTTTTTTAAATAGAGCAACTAGGGTTCTTAAAAATATTCTTTAGGTGCTTGCTGAAACTTCCAGGGCACGTGGAAAAAGTAACTATTTGTGATGATACAAAGATCTGTTAATATGCAATTTATGGTATTAGGTTTACTCTTCCTATCTCTTCATCCTCACCGCGGCTGCCACGCCCCCACTGTCAGGCGCTTCGAATAATTATTTACCACATGTTGATTTGGAGGGTGAGAGAAAGGCACCCTTGGTATTGAAATTCTAGAGAGCAGAGAATGGTTAGGTTGCCCAGATCTTCCAGGTGGCTTCTACAGAATATGTACTTGGAATACAACAATATGCTTTAAAAAGGAGGACATCACCTTTAACCTTGATTCATTTTTAATGTCCTGATGTCTTTGCTTTGTCTGCAACATTCACCTGTACATATTTTGGCTGAAAGGTTTAGGAATGTTTGCAGGTGCTAGAAAATACATGGAAGTTTTACTTACTGTTTCATTAATCACTCAAATGGTGGCAGAATTTCCTAGGGTATTATCGTTCTTAACGGTTATGTCCTTGCCTCGGAGCTGAGACCAGGCTAGAGATCATGTTTTAGAAAAATGAGGCAAAGATGTGTCGTGAGCAGCTGAAATAAGGGGCTATCCAGTGCCACCCCAAAGGAGACTCTGTGCTGGCAAAAAAAAAAAAAAAAGGCAAACACTCCTGGTACCAGATACAAAGCCAGTCTGTGCAGGACTCAGGATGATAAACTGAGGTATGTTTGCAAACTTAAGTTCCTTGCCTGCCAAGCCTCCTGGCCTGTGGCTCGGAAGCAGGGTTATAAAACACCCCCGAACTGTTAACCACATAGCCAGCAATTCCAGGGACAAAACGTGTAGACACTGCAGCCAGTCGGACAGCCAGACAGCTGCATCCTTCAGTGGAAGGTACCTTCCAAGAACACGGCAACTGCCTCTCAGCCAACGTCCCTGCCTCTCCTCCCGGAAAGCCGAGGGAGACTGTGGGCATCACGATCTATCCCCCACCCCTGCCCCCGCGAGACCTTCTTGGGGACCAGGAGCCGGAGGACGGGGGGGTGCTGGATGCCTTAGCCTCCTTCTTCCCTCTTATTACCACGTCACAGCCCTTTATCAATTGCTTGACAATTACTTGGGGGCTCTGTGGCTGCATCTCCAGAAATGTTTCCATTCTAACTCAGGAGTGTCTACATCCTGCCAGCAGATTCGCAGGCGGCGGTGGCCCAGAGAAGCCCAGATCCGAGTCCCTGGTTCGGTGCAGGGCCGAGCCGAGTGCCAGCTACCGCACCGGGGGTGTGAGACCGCGTCCGGGGCCGCGCGGCGGGCCTCGGGGGCGCGCTCCACAGGCGCTCAGGGCCCGGCCGGCGCGGCCCTGCAGGTCTCCGGCCTTTCTCGTCACCTCTGGGCTCTCCTCGGCACCCTGCCGCTTCCGGCGGCTCCATCCCAAGGAGGAGCGCTAAGAGGAAGCGCGAACGCGAGGGGGGCGCCCCGGGCCCCGAACCCTGCACCAGGGTCACCCGCCCCCCACCTCGGCCCCGCCCCACAGGCCCCGCCCCCACAGGCCCCGGCCAGGCCACTTCTCTCCAGGACGCAGGGGGGGCGTCAGAGCCCCCTCCGGAAACGGGGAACGTGGTATGCCCCGGAAGTGATTTCAAGGCCTCCTAGACCGGCTTCCGATCCTACCGGAAGTGGCGGACGGAGGCCGGTGGATCTCGCTGCTGTGGAGGGCGAGGTGACCCCGGTGCGGGAGTGGGGTCCGGTGGCGGGGTCCTGGGGCCCGCTGGGAGGGTGGGGGCGCCGCCCGGGCGGGGGGGACGGGGAGGGCCGGCCGGGGTGCGAGGGGCGCGGCCCAAGACTGAGCCCAGCGCCTGTCCGCCCTCGGTCCTGCAGCCGTCGCCGCCACCATGGGCCGCGCGTTTGGGAATCTGACCCGGGTGCGGCATGTGATCACCTACAGCCTGTCGCCCTTCGAGCAGCGCGCCTTCCCGCACTACTTCAGCCACGGCGTCCCCAACGTGCTGCGCCGCATCCAGGCATCCATCCTGCGCGTCGTGCCGCGTGAGTGCCCCTTTCTCACACCCACACACACCCTTTCTCCCTGAGAACACTGCGAGGCCCGTGAACTAGTCCCGTCATCGCCTCCGTGCTACCGGGGAGGAAACTAAGTCCCAGAGAACTTAAATGAGTGGCCCAAGGTCACCTGGGTGACTCCGTCTTCCTCCGAGGTCATCTCCACGCACTGCTTTCCTAGCGGCCCACTGTTTTGTGTTACAGGGAAGCAGGTAGTGAGGGTAGTAGCACAACCTTGCGAATTTGGTTAAATGGTGAAGTTAACTTTATTCCCATTATCTGAAAAAAATTTTAATGTGCTACAGGGGAGGTTTGGTGATAAGAGTTTCCCGGGTAGACCCTTTTCTTTTGGTCATTTATCAAGTGGGTATGTAATGTAACCCTTCTTTTTTTAAAAAGTCCTCACTTGATGATATGTTTATTGGTTTTTAGGGAGAGAGAAATATCGATCTGAGGAACATCTATCGGTTGCCTCTTATGATCGGTTGCCTCCTTCCTATACATGACCCTACTGGGAATCCAACCGCAACCTTTTGGTGTGCTGGGACTACCCCACCCTACTGGGCAACCTGGCCTGGGCTGATGTAGCCCTGCTTGGTCCTCTGGTTTAAAAGGGATTTGGCGTGTGAAGAAAGAAAGAAAGATAAATAAATAAATAGGATTTATTGAAAACTAGAAACAGGGGGGCAGAATCTGTTGTGATGCAGAAAAGAGGACAGGCACTCCTTTGTCTCATCTGTGCTCACTGCTTTCTCTCACTTTTGATTTTTAAAGCATTTGTTGGATTTTATCTTATCTACACGTGGGGGACTGAGGAGTTTGAGAAATCCAGGAGGAAGAATCCAGCCACCTATGAAAACGACCACTGAGCAACTCATCTGGAGGATGGTCCCGTCTCTGAAAGACCCTTCTCTGGGAGAGGAGTCCACATTGTATAGTGTCTTCAAGACACAATAAACTTCTTATGGGCTGCTATGTTGTGGTTTTGCATTTTTGTGAGCAGAGTCCTTGGTGTGACTTGCTAATCTTAAAGTTAATGAACTCCCTTCCCCAGACGAACCCTGAACCATTTTGGCGAGTGTGGGAATTTGGTGAAGGAGTGGGGCTCACCCCTCGTTCGGCATAATTTACAAGGAAGCCGCTGCAGCTCCTCTGGCAGGCTGGCCTGGTGTGGGGGCATGGACTGTGGGGAGTGCTGGTTCCCCTCCCTCTGGTCCTATCGCAATAATAAAATCTATATTGTAATTGCTATGTGTCAGGCACTCTTAGTGCTTTACACACATAAGTTCTTTTAAACCTCACAACTACCTTTGAAATATTACACTCGTTTGGCAGGTGAGGACACAGGCACAGGGAGGGTAAATAATTTGGCCAAATTTATATAGATAGTGAAATGGTGGAGTCTGGGACTAAAGTTTATGTTCTTCAGGTTACACTGTACTGCCTTTTAAGACAGGCCTTCCTTAGCCTCAGGGGAGTCCGCTATAAAAGGAAGGGTGAGGTGACCCCTTGACCTCGCGAGCTGAGGCAGCACCCTGGCTATTTGTACCAGATTACTAACAGTAGTCATTAACCATATATGTCCATAAAGCCTAAAATTTTACTCTCTGGCCTTTTACTCCTGTTATGGAACCTTTGAATATATGATTTGGTAGAAAAGTTCCCTTTATTTTTTTAACAAAATACACTAAATATATTCATCACTGGGGCTAAACCAGGAACTTAACTGAAACAATAAATATGACACCACAGCTATAGAGTTCTATACAGAAATCAAGTCAAGGACAGAAAATCTAAAAACAAAAAGCACAGGCCTTGGCCAGGTAGCTCAATAGTTTAGAGCAAGCAGGTCAAACTCAAAGGCTAACATGGGCCAAATAAGGTTTATGTGGGCCGCAAAAAAAAAGCTTCAATTTTCATAGGAATGTAGGTTTATTTCAATAGAGATGTGCTGAATACAAAGGGCTGAAATAAATGAATAATCATTAACAAAATAGAACATTTTAATTTTTTTTCTTTTTTTTTTTTAAATATATTTTTATTGATTTGTTACAGAGAGGAAGGGAGAGATAGAGAGCTAGAAACGTCGATGAGAGAGAAACGACGACCAGCTGCCTCTTGCACACCCCCTACCGGGGATGTGCCCGCAACCAAGGTACATGCCCTTGACCGGAATCGAACCTGGGACCTTTCAGTCCGCAGACTGACGCTCTACCACTGAGCCAAACCGGTTTCGGCAGAACATTTTAATATTTTTTCTTGAACATTAACTTAGACACTGAATAACCACAATAAGTGTAGCGTAAATCTATTCTCCAAAAGCGAAATATTTCCTGTTGGGCACACCAAACAAGTCAGTACAAGACTAAACATGGCGATCGGCTACTAAAACATTAGCTGCTAGTATTAGTGGAGAGAAATGGTGTGCCTGCAAGTAAGGTGTGTGAGGGAAATGAATATGACAAGGTTATGCTAATCAGCCAACGTGTAGCTCGTTATTACGTATAACAGGATATAAAAAGTTACGACATTTTTATTAAAAAGTTTCTTGAATACCATTACAGTGGTGCCTCACACAACAAACTTAATTCATTCCAGGAGCAAGTTTGTTATGCGAAAAGTTCGTTATGTGAAACGCGTTTTCCCATAACAATACATGTTAAAAAAAATAATTCGTTCTGTAGCATAAAATATGCTAAGATGACATAAAAAAAGATAATTTTTTTGTTATTTTTATTTAGATACATCATGATATAAAAAAAAAATATTGAGTTTAACTTAAAAGGACGACTGCCGTGATACGTGCGTGATTTAATTCGTAATGAAGAACGATTGCCGCGATACGTGCTTAAGTTAAGCGCAGTGACTAACGACTGCCTGCTGTGCCTGCGCGGAAGGATGCAATACATCGGCAGCGATCGTGGAAGCTCGGGCAAAGCGGTCGTGGAAGCTCGGGCGACTTCGTTGTGTGAAACGAAGGTCGTTGTATGAATCATGAAAGGAAGTTCGTTGTGTGCAGCGTTCTCTGTGCGAGGCGTTCTTTATGCGAGGCACCACTGTATATTGATTGGGCCATCGCCGTGGTAGCAGGGATTAGGAACTTGGCCATGGGTAAGGGTGGCCACGGGAGCTCTAGGGAGAGCTGGTACCTCATGTCTTCATAGACTGCCAGCTGCTCCATGGATGGTCCTCACCCATTTGAAAGATGGTCTGATTCAGGGAAGGCAGAAGTTCCTTTGCTGCCAGGCATGGGATCATCAGCTCCTGTAACGTCCACACCACGCACCTCCTGCCCACAGGGCCCTCCCCTGGCTCAGCTTCACCGGCAGCAGTGAAGCTGGCGGCAGCTGGGTTGCGGTTCTGGGAAGCCATCTGGGCAGCTCTGGCAGGGACACAGGAACTTGGAGAACACCAGTGTAATTCAAAAAGGCACCTTTTTCCTTTTAACAGCAGTTAGTGTGGGAAGGGTCGGCAGTTGTATGCTTATGCTTCCCTGCTCTGCTTGTAGAAATTTCCCAAGTACCCTTGTTGCTGGTCCAGAACGGTAGCTTTCACTGTAGTTCAGCTTCTGCCTCAGGCTGCATCTTTCCTTCTTATTCTAATGATTGTTCTTGCCTTTTAGGAACCAAAGTTAAAATGTTTCCAAACCTAAAAACAATAAATTGGCACGGTAAACTGCATTTATTTACTTATTTTAATATATTTTACTGATTTTTTTACAGAGAGGAAGGGAGAAGGATAGAGACCTAGAAACACCGATGAGAGAGAAACATCGACCAATTGCCTCTTGTTCACCCCCTACTGGGAATGTGTCCGGAACCAATGTACATGCTCTTGACTGGAATCAAACCTGGGACCTCTCAGTCCTCAGGCCGACGCTCTATCCACTGAGCCAAACCGGTTTGGCACAAACTGCATTTATTGTGGGGCAGGAAAAGGAGGGAGGGCAGACTTGGGCCCATATCCTTTTACTGTTGCTTCCTTCCTGTGATATAGGCAAGAAACCTGCATTCCTGAGCTTTGAACTTGCTGCCCATTAAAACAGATGAATTAGTAATTTTCCTGTTTGGCTCTTTGTCCAAATTTATTCTCAGGGCTTGCCTGATATGCAACATATTTGGGTTGTGGACTTTGAGAATGATGAGAGCTGTGGACCTGAAGATGTAAATGTACCCACTTTGCATAGTTTCAACAGATGCATGCACCAGGGGAGGACCACTGCCATTCATGACTCTCTCCCCATCTCTGATTTTAGCCCCAAGCTTACTAGAGGAGATGGTCACCCTTTCCTACCTTCTGGGCTTCATTTTTTAAAAATACATTTTTAGCCAAAACTGGTTTGGCTCAGTGGATGGAGAGTTGGCCTGTGGACTGAAAGGTCCCAGGTTCAATTCTGGTCAACGGCATGTACCTTGGTTGCGGGCACATTCCCAGTAGGGGGTGTGCAAGAGGCAGCTGATCGATGACACTCTCTCATCGACGTTTCTGACTCTCTCTGTCCCTCTTCCTCTCTGTAAAAAAAATCAATAAAATATATATTTTTTAAAATACATTTTTATTTATTTTCGAGAGAGAAAGGAGAGGGAGAAGAGAGAAACATCGATGAGAGAGAAACAAAGGGCTGCCTCCTGCATGCCCCTACCAACTATGGAGCCTGCAACCTGGGCATATGCCCTTACTGAGAATCAAACTAGCAACCTCTCGGCACATGGGACAATGCTCAACCAAGTGAGCCACACCAGCAAGGCATTCTTGGCTTCATCTTACCCTAAGACTCTCTTTGACTTCTTTGGAGGTATTAGCTCAAAATCAAACGTGCCCGTTCTCAGCACCGAGCCTGTTGGTCTGAATCCTTTTTATCTCAGGAGTACCCTAAGATGGCCTTCTATAAGCCCTGTACATTCTGAGCTTCTGCTTTTAGATAAAACTGTGAAAGGCTGCTCTTAAGCTCCTCTCTTAGCAAAGAGCTGCCTCTCTAAACTTAAAGGCACAAAGCTCTGTGTAGCAGGGTGCTGACAGAATGTGGGGAGTTGTCGTAACTCAGTGCTCCTGTACAGGATTTGGGGCCTGGGGTCATTTTAAGGACTAGTTGTAGAAATCCATAAAGAAAAGGAAAACTTGGTTAAAGTATCTTAAGGAAGAGGGAACTACTTCGGGCCTCAGGATCTATAACCCACTCACCTGCCCCTTCCTGACTTGGTGCAGCTCCTTCACCTGCTGCTGGGGGCACAACCAGTTGTTCCTTTTGCCCTTCTTCCCCTCAGCAGTGCTCCTTCCCCAACAAAGGCATTCATTCTGGGGAGCAGAATGGGAACTCTTCAGGCCAGAACTGAAGAGTGCAGGCCCAGAACTCTGCCAGTTCCAGCCAGCAAAGAAGCAAATACATTTTGACCCTTTGTTGAAATTTCACCTAGAAAAGTTTTTCCATTTCAGGAAGGTGACTTTTTATTAGGCACCTTCTGCTTGGGGACAGCACAAGTTCCCAGTTACTGTTAAGCTCTAATGATCTCTCCTCCTGAAATGTCTCCAACATCTGTTCCTGTTCTACACCCTCCTCCTCTCATTTCATCCCGGGCACCTTCCTCCAAAGCAGAAAACCCCTGGGAGCTGTGTTCAGAGTTATCCATGCTATACACTATCAAATGTGCTGCAGTATCAATTTCTTGTAAATTAGTCACGTGAACCCCCAAATGTTAGTGCCTGAGAGGCCTCAGGGATCTCCTTCCATCTCACAGACAGAACAAGAGACTAAACCCAAAGGGGCTGGGCTGGCCTGTGGTCAGTTGCTCTACCCACTCCCGCCTCCCAGCCAAGAACTCTTCTTACCGCTGCAATTGTTAAAGGCTGCTTAGACCTTTCGCTGGAAGGAGGAACATGGACTGTAGTTATGTGTTTATTCAGCGAAATAGTTGATTGCAGGGAACCTGTGACATTTCAGTGTTTTTTTTTTATTAAATTATTTGATTTTGCTTGGAGTACAGGGAGGCAGCAATGGAGGATTAGGAGAACGTACCTATCTTTGGAATGAGCAGGTTCCAAATCTCATTTGGCACATCACTCCAGGCTGATAAAGGGGAGACTGGCACCGAGTCCACAGACCCAACTGGCTCTAGGACATCACGTTGTTCAGTTTTTTGCTTATCTAATCAGACTTGTTCTTACCCAATGTTCACTAGGTCACCACGTAGCCTCGTCCCCACCCTACAGAGTTCCTAGTTAAGCCCCTACCTGAGGTCACTCAGAATGAAGGGAAGGAGCAGCTAACTGGTCACAAACTCGCAGAATTGGCTAGGTGAGTTTAGCAGAGATCTGCTTCTCAGTGTTTCTGCAAGTACAAGCAGTGCTGTCTCTTTCAGGCCTGGAACCAGGACAGCCAGGTGTGGTCAGAGCCCGTCCCACCCAGCTTTGAGGTCCACCAATATCACCCTCCTTTCCCTTGGCAAGAAGATTGGCAACCCTCTGTTTCACCTCCAGCTATGACGCATCTCCTCCTTTCCCTCGGAGAACAGGCAGGTTCTTGCCAAATATCCAACCTCTGAAGATGAGAAGGGCCTTGGAAACAGGTATCAGCAAACTTTTCACAGACACCTGGCAGAGAAGGAATCTTATTGCATTTGTCTTGGTGGCTAACCCTTCTAGGTCACACAGGTAAATCTATCAATCTCTTTACTCAGAATTCACACCTTTGCCCCAAAATTCCTTTAAATGCCCACGTCATTTAATGAGTACCCATAACTACTCACGATTGCCCCAAGAAGCCAGCAGCAGTTCCTACTTTGGGCTTTGGAGACAGCTCAGCTTAGACCTGCTTCCAAGGCTGCAGGAGGGACATGCTCTTTAGGAGGCCCCAGGCGCCTAGTGGAAGACACGTCCGTAACTCAAGGCTTTGCAGAGTGATTTGTCACCACCACACAAGTTGAGAAGCCCTCGCTCCCAACTCATTCACAGAACAAAACAATACATCCACCTATATTCAAATTCATTCGAGCCACCTGTGGCTCACCTAAGTCCCACATCAGTCCCGATGGCCTTACCCCCAGCAGAGGGCAGGTAGACAAGATTTTGAACTTTCCACAGCTGCATCTCTATACTTCTAGGACAGTGATCGGCAAACCAAGGCTTGCATGCCACAGGTGGCTTGTGAGCCACAGTTTGCTGCTCTGTTGACTAATGAGTTTGCTGACCACTGTTCTAGGAAGATGATCTGGAGCAGAGAATTAGGGTGACAGTCAATCTACACAAATGAGGGATTGGGGATTGGGGCTTTGTAGACTCTGCTTGCCAAAGCATCCTCCCACAATAGGGAGATGGGGTCATTATCCAAATGCCTATAACACAATAGCTCAGGGCCTCTTTCCTAGACAAGACTGAAAGGGGTCAGCGCTATTTCTGAAGACCTCATTATTAGAATTCTATTTCAATATAAGTGATCTCATTGAGCTATTTTGGAATCCAAATGTGGCAAGGTGCCTGACCTCCCTCAATGTCTTCACGTGGCTTTTACAGGGGAGGGGTTAGTGCTGACTTTTGCTAAAATGGGTGAAAGGGTCCAAGCAGCCAACATAATCACTCAAAGTCCAGATGAGAGATCAGTAAATACAACGTGCTTGGAAGGCAGGCCTTGAGCACATTCTTCTGGTAGACATTAACTTATTAAATCGATCCTGATTGCAAAAATAAACTTTGCCCCCATCTCACCTGGCATCTGTAAAAGAGGCACATTTCAGTCTATAAAAGTGGGAACTGTCCCTGGCTTTCAGGCTCCAACATTCCGTGTCAAGATGTGGCACCTTAAACTCTTTGCAGCGCTCATGATCTGCCTGTTACTGCTGGGCCAGGTAAGGAACGAATGCGGGTGTGCGGGGAGGGTGGTACTGTGCGCAGAGCCCGAGAGCCGGATTCCATCCTGAAGAATGATTCTTCTGCGCTCAGTCTACAGCATCCGGGGAATGACCATTTCTCCAAGATGTGCAGCAGGGTGTCAACCCTTCCACACCAAAGAATTTGTCTTTGCCCCACAGATTGATGGCTCCCCAATATCGGAACTGAGTTCAGCAAAGAGAAGGCTGCGGAGAATGACCCCATTTTGGAGAGGGGTTTCCCTCAGGTCCATTGGAGCCTCCTGCCGGGATGACTCCGAGTGTATCACCAGGCTATGCAGGTATTCCACAAACTTGGGAGCATGGCTGAGCCAAAGAGGCCTGGGAAGCTAGGCAGAGATCAACACACACAGACTTAAGAATAAAGTTGGGCCCCACCCGGTTTGGCCCAGTGGATAGAGCGTCCGCCTGCGGACTGAAGCGTCCCAGGTTAGATTCCAGTCAAAAGCATGTACCTTGGTTGTGGACACATCCCCAGTAGGGGGTGTGCAGGAGGCAGCTGATCGATATTTCTCGTCGATGTTTCTATCTATTGCTCTCCCTCTGTAAAAAATCAATATATGTATATATATATATAATATATTTTAATTTTTTACAGAGAGGAAGGAAGATGGTTAGAGAGCTAGAAACATGAATGAGAGACATCGACCAGCTGCCTCCTGCACACCCCCTAACGAGGATGTGCCCACAACCAAGGTTCATGTCTTTGACTGGAATCAAACCTGGGACCTTTCAAGTCCGCAGGCCAATGCTCTATCCACTGAGCCAAACCAGTTTCGGCAATAAAATATATATTTTTTAAAAAGAATAAAGTTGGGATGGAGGACTTGAGAGTTGGAGCTCATTGGCAAAACCCTCAGGAGTTAAGAGCCAAGGACAGCTACACACAGGTGCCATGAAAGAGCAGTGCCTTTCCTCTCTGCAGTCCTCCTTGAACTTGGATAGCTCAGAGGAAGGAAACAGGTTGGCTCTGGGCACTGCTCTCTTTACCTTAAAAACCACCTTTTCTTTTCCCTTAGAAAGAGACGCTGTTCCCTAAGTGTGGCCCAGGAATGATGAACATACCAGCGGAAAAGAGGACAGCACTCACCTACAACAATGCTCCGTTCTATGGAATATTGATTAACTGCGTATTGGCTGGAGACACTCAAGTGAAGCAATCTTGTGTTTTTAATATTTAAAGACAGATTATGCTTTAAATTGGTCTCCGTTTCTTCTTAGAATGTTGATATTTAGATGAGCATAAAGAAACTTGTCAATTTATAGAGTTTATTTTTCTATGTATATTATTAAACGTCTTAAATTTGAAAATTTGGTAGTCTGAAATTTAAGCCTTTGAGTGGAAGAAATGTCACTTGTATACTATAGAAAAAATAACCCAGTATTGCCTAATAATCATGTGTTACTTTTCACACTTGATCTTAGCCAAAAAGCTGAGAAGTGATATGTTACTTCTCAACCTTGAAAGTTAACAGTGAGTAGCAACAAAAGTAGTGAGTTAACATTTTTCCAATAAATAAAGAACATGCCCTGGTCAGTGTGGCTCAGTTGGTTGAGCATCAACTGTGCACTGAAAGGTCATGATTCCTGGTCAGGGTATATGCCCAGGTTGCGGATTCGATCCCGGGTTGGGGTACATGCAAGAGACAGCAGAGGGATGTTGACGTTTTTCCTCTCCCTCTAAAATAAAAGATAAAACACAAAACCCAGAACTAACATGGTGGCAAGCTACAGGCATCAGATTAGTAATGGCCTAATTGTGATCAGCGCGTTCCTAAGCTGCGGTCCTGGATCCCAGCCCTTCGCTCCGTGTAAAAGGACTCTTCAGTAAGATGCCAGAAACGGGCAATGCTGGCACTGGCAGCCTGATGATGTGCCCAAGTTTGTGACTGAACAGAAGGCAGAAGTGAAAGAAAATCTAGCTAAATAAAACAATAAAAGCCCAAGGCACAGAGAAACAGCAAAAAAGGTTTGTCTGAGATTTTTGTGAGTGCAGGGTGAATTCTAATCTATGGAAAGGGATTCGTGGCCAGCGAACGTGCAAAATTTCTGTAATGAGAAAATGAGATCTGGACTAATAGGACCAGACTTTTAAAGTAAACTGAGAATGGACAGTGTTTATAAACTTTAATACAGAAAATCTATTTGATATTTATTAAACTTAGTTTCTCCAGCTATGGTTTGGCATTATACAAAGCATCTTAATGACACAGTAGAGTTAAAAAGATCTTTACAAATTGAAATGTGATACCCTTGTCTCCAAATATTTTAATTGCCATAAATTTGTTTAAAAATACACATTAAACGCATGTTTGACACTCTAAACTTTCTATAATTTCAATACCACAAAATACATATAATATACTATACAGATGTGGAAAAATCTAGTTAGTATATAATACTTTGCTCACCATTAACAGCTTTATTATGTGAAATGCACATACTGACTTAGAAATCCTAGCTTTTGAACCCCAAAGTACCTCTGAAATTTTGACATATTGCAACAAAAATCACAGTATATAATTGAAATTTTGGTTGAAAATGTCAGATGCCTAAATATTTTGGATAAAAGAAATGTAAGACAAAGATCTGGATCATGTACAAAACAAAGGCATCCAATAGACACTAACAGTACCTTTCTGTAGAATCAACAAGGCTTCTAATTTATCAGTGGCGTTACCTCCCCTCCAAAACTCTCGCTGGATCTCAAACCATTGTTAGCCAAATAATTTTAATTTCAAATAAGATAAAAGGACTTTCAATAAATATATAAGCATTTCCATCCTCCATATACAAAATTTAAAACCATTCACAACAGAGGCTAGATAGAATTTTTCCTAACTGTGCTTACCAACCCCACATCTGGTCCTCAATGATGGTGCCTTTTCAGGCATTGCCACTTGGGCCAGCTCTGTTGGTGAGCCCCACCCTAACCCAACCCCAGTACTGTTGAATGCTCATGTCAATGATTTGCCAGGTGTATGCATAAAACTGTAAAATAGGGACACTTCTTGAACAGTTACAACAAACTCAACAGTATGGATAATCAGGTCATTGACTTGAAAGGCAACATTTCCAAAGAGATATTTTCCTAGAGAGAAACATAAGCAGGTAGAAAATTCCAATGGTTAAAAGCTGAAAAGAAACTCCACGTGGAAGCAGATAGAGGTCAAAACTGAATTATTACTAGAATTTCTGGGAGTTCCAGTCCCCACTCCCTTCCCCCTTTGCTCATTTAGAGAGCTCTTTTGTTTCTTTTTAAGAATGGCAATGGCAATTTATGCTTAGCTGAGCAATAGTGGCAAGGAGAGGTCAATGGCGACATACCCAAAAGTCAATTCCCGATACATGATTATTTAGGCTGCTATTTTATGATGCTTAAAGATCTACAAGACTTGGTTCAGATTTGACTCTGATGCCTTATTCTGTGACCAAATTCTATAAAAAAGAAGAGACTTAAATATTCTTTCTTTTCCCCTTTCTGAAGACAGTAAGTTCTTTTTAATTAACTATAGGGTTCAACTGAATAGAATCAGCATCTGCTTTACCAACTATTAATAACTTACTCCCTGTCACTGACCAGCTTGGTTCTAGGGTCCAGAGTATCTAAATTGAAATTCTCCTTCAGTGAGTATGTGAAAGATATACTCACAAACATGACCAATTTGGTCTCTTGTCACTACATATTCCAAGTCATTCCATACTTATCTCTTCTATGTATCTTATGGAATAGCAACCTTAAATGTGCAATATTATTTATTATTGGAAAAAATCATCCTCTCCAACAAATTGATATATAACATTGAAATGAATCCTGTGTTCCACATTATTTAGGGAACATGAGTTATAGGAGTCTATATGGATTTAAAATGCTTTCTCAATTTTCTTAGCTTTTATTGTGTGTTTTTTTAAAAAAAATCACCGCAATCTGCCTAAAACCAGTCATCCCAAGTAGGCGTTCCTGAGACCCAGAAGCAAACTCCTATAATTCAAAACACATGAGGCCATTCTGTCCAATTAACAACTGGAAAATTAAAATCCTTCCCACCCTGTAAAAGCCCTATTATACTACAAAGGGCTCTATATATTTTAAAAGTTAATTTACTACAAATCATAGTAATTAAGCTTTAAGATCTAAAAGGAATACACATTGCACCCTTGAACATTATTCAAGGTGTCAACAAGAAAGTGTCTTAGATCAATTTAATAAATAATGTGGAAATAGTTGCACTAAGCTAAAATACTAAACACACAATTTTTGACAAACTAAGTTCATGTTTTCATACATACATACGTACATATATATAAAGTGTGTATGTGTACATAGTTTTAAAATCCAAAGCTGCATACCCTCACACCTAGAAGAGTGCACAGCTACCTCTCCTCTGCACACAGGCATCATGGACTGGAGAGACCACTGGCTGCTCTGAAACTCTATAGAATCAAAATATTAATTTATATTTTGCAAGCACTTGCTTCACAATGCAAGCTCATTAAAAAAAAAAAAAGGCAATTTCACCAAGTTTCTGTCATAAAACACAAAATGATGCTATCTGTGCTAGCTAAAAAGAAACAACAATGAAAAACAAGAACAGTGAATCTAATAAAGTCACAAGTGTATCAAAGTGCAGCCCAGATGCCCAAGGAGCGAAAGCTCCTCAGAGCACAGGCGTGTATGGGCAAGTACACACGTTACTCTAAATTGCTTTTTACTTTGGAGAATTAAATTAGTGATGGTCAACCTTCTCCACTTTTCAGCAACTATAACTGTAAATTTATTGGAAGTATTCATTGCTTTTAAAGGTCAGTTCTTGGCTACTTGCCCAGAAAAAGGTAGCGTTGAGGCAAGAAGCAGGCTGAACGCTCTCAAGCAAGACTGGGCCTAGGCTGGACTGTAGAAGCTTGAGACTCACCTGGAGGGAAGCACTCTCCATAGCCCAACCCAGGCTGAGCAAGACTATTATGTAACAACTTCATCCACTGCAATCTGCTGGTTGGTTACCTACAAAGAGTCCAATAGTGTAGGCTGCTAACTCATACAGATGTGGTCTTAAAGAGGAGTCAACACAGTAGTTTTTAAATAGTTGCTATTTCTAGAATTAACTATATATTAAGTACAAGTCTCAGACTACTAAGTAAGTTTTTAGTCACTTGTAAAATACAGTTTTAAATGGTTGGAGAACACTGAAGACACCTACTGAGGAAGGAGGAATGGTCACCTGTAAAGGAGTCCAAAGTATGTGCTGAAGCAGAGAAGACAAAGACAGAACTTTTGAGATGGACTCAGGACAAGGAGTGGTGTTTTCAGAGAACATTACCTTAAAGATTCAATTATTTGGGATAGGATTTTGATCCACTGTCCATTACTACCTGCTGGGAAAAACCCACCACAGTGAAAAGCTTAACAAACTCACTCTCCAAGAATTGACACAGTTTTCAGAGAAAGAGTATCTTAGAGCAGCACCATAAAACAGGCAGGAAACTCTGCTTTATCAAAATGCTGGTGTGACCCTAGAAACACTCCTGCTGCCTCTCAGGACACCCAAGAGATTAGCACATACTGAAACTCAGAGTGCCCAGAGGCTCCTAATGCTGACAATCTAAAAGCTCAGAGGATACTTTCTCCATTTCTAGGACATCACTGCAAATAAAGGAATCAGGGTTAGAAAAGTCAGAAGGCCAGGACACATGTCTACTGGATTAACAGTGGTAAGTTTCTTACTGAATAACTACCATGCTTGCCGAGTTGTCCTCTTAAAGAAAACTGTTCCTAAAACATGAAGATATCAGAGGCAATTTCTCTAAGGGAAAAAGGTGGTCAATGCAATTTACATATATCATTCTTCAATGATATGCAGAAACAACTTGAGGTACAAAATAGTTAAGCTCTAGAAATATGAAGCCACAGGACAATGAAAATTCTCTAGTTTCAGGAAATACCCTACATGATTCCACAATGGAAACAAGCTCCAAACCACACGATCCCGGGACCAGGAGAGCACGACAATCTAGATCAAAAGAAAGAGCCGGGACCGGTTTGGCTCAGTGGATAGAGCGTTGGCCTGCGGACTGAAAGGTCCCGGGTTTGATTCCGGTCAAGGGCATGTACCTTGGTTGCGGTCACATCCCCGGTAGGGGGTGTGCAAGAGGCAGCTGATTGATGATTCTCTCTCATCGATGTTTCTAACTCTCTATCCCTCTCTCTTCCTCTCTGTGAAAAATCAATAAAATATATATTTGGGGGAAAAAAGAAAGAAAGAACGAACGAACGCGTGCGCCAAAGCAGGAGGAAAAATACCGCTGAAATGTCCAAATCTGAAAGCATGATTGAAGAAGAGCATTATTTGCAGACATGCGCAGTGAGCCCATCTACTTTAATAGCTTCTACATAGAAATTGAGGACATCAAACAACTACATCAATTGTATCAACAAATTGGAAGCCAACCATCTCAAGAAAGTTTTTCCATCTGTAGTACCCTGTCCCAACTCAAGGAGTCTTTAAAAGACTTACAAACCAGGATGGTTCGTATAGAGACTTACTTGGCAATTGTAAGAGAAAATGGAGAAAATGCAAGCAACTATAGATGAAATCAAGGTTGTCACATCACAAAAGGGACTGACTCAGATGGTTGGATCAGAAATAGGAGAATTTGCTAGATTCTGCCCAGGATTCAACCCCAGCCCAATGCTGCAAAACAACAGGCAATCAAAGAGCAACCTGGCTCCTCAAACATAGTGGAATCAATGGACTCATACAATGAATTCCTTAAGGATATCTAGACTCACACCCCATGAGTCAAGGCCAATCATTTATGATTTAAGAGAGAGAGAAAAAAAAAGAAAGTTCTCTAGCTTCAGAAAACAGAGAATTCACTGCACCACTGGGCTTGGAGATTTTCTATCCTTTCCATTTCAAGCCTTAACAATTATCTATAAATATCAGGATAATCCTTTTTTTTTCTGATTGGGTGGATTCATTTTTAGAATGGGGAAAAGGACAAAGTATTTTTTGAAACAGCATTACCCAATAGGTTAGATTAAGTCATGTACAAAAGCATTAGCTTCTCTGAAAGCATTCATCTTTATGCGACCCTAAAGATGTAAAAGAAGAGAGAATTTAACATTGTTACTGCAGGAGACCAACCACATGGGTGATCTGGTCCTAGTGTAAAACTTCATCTGTAAACAGTCCAGAGTCTTCATTTAAAGGTAAGATTTAAGGCACACTAGACATGATAGGGGCACTAAAACAAGATAGAGGAAATATTTCTCACCTTTGACTCTTATATGCACCTTATAGGAAAAGGTACAACTCTTATAGAGCTGGCTTCTTAAGCAATACCCCTCCTCCCCACCCCTTCCCAAGAGCTCACATTGAACCATTAGGTACTTTTCTAGTGTGAATTTTCTGATCCTATCAGAAACATATTTAATTGATGAGGGCCTTCATAATACAAAGGGACTAATTACAAAACAGGTCTAAAAGGAGAAATTCATCATCTCTACATCAGGCATTAGACCTCTAAGTTGTATAACAAAAGCACACACACCAAAGCTCTAGCCCATTTCAGTATCAGTCACTGCATGCTCCTATTTGAGCATCACAATCTAGTGTGGAAGAATACTTATATAAGAATTCTGAAGAGAGATTTTACCTTTAAATATCAATAATGAAAAAGATATAGACAGCAACTTTCAGGAGTTGGATCATCCTTTGCTTTACAGTAACTTACATTATTTAAATTTTAATAATTAGAAAAAAAAACAAACCAAAAACCTACTACCACATGGTTTTAGTAAAATCCGTAAAGTTCAAGATTGTCCTTTATGAAACCCTTCATTTGATATACTTCTCCTAGAAAGTCTGCCTGCCCTCTTTTGTAATGCATTAAATGCAAGTTGTAGTCACCTTGTGATTATTAGTGTTATCAACACACGTTCACAGTTCTTGAAATAATGCATACCAAATCAGACATATTTGTTTTACACCCATGTAGAATGCTATCTTCTCATATTTAAGTGATTTTCATATGTAGAATATCCTTAATACTAAGTATAAATTCTGCATTAATAAAATTGTAGTTAATAACTGAAATATTATCAGGTAGTAGGTATAGAAAGAACATGTCCATATTTTAAATGAACCAACTATTACTCTTAGAAGAGCTACCACAAAAAGACATTAATTGGTAACAAAGCTCCCAAAGTCTATAAATAAAAATGCCTACATTACATTTATGTTCAATATTTAACAGGATAAATTTATAGGCAGAAATAATGAAGTTTTAAACTAGCCCCAATGTGGGAACTTAAAAAAATTAAAATAAATACAATTTCAATTGATTACTTATGAACTGCAGTTGGAATTTCAATCTTATTAATAAAGATCACCGAAACCATCTTATCAATATGCTGCAGATTTAAAAGCATTTACATGATTTTTCATATTGGGAATATTGACAGGGCCAACTGACATGATGGCTTTGGGCTATAAAAAACAATAACATATGAACATGGGAGAACACCATTCCTCATTCTTAGTGTCGACTAGGCGGCATGTTATGGCAGTTTTCCTTCATGATGTAACACAGTGTTGTGGAGAAAATCAGAGGCAACAAGAATGTGTTCAGTTCAAGATATCAACTTGGCATCCTGGCGAAGCCAGTGCAGTCCCTGCCGGGTGTAACGAACTAGGTCTGTCATGATGCTTGCGTTAAAGATGAGAGGGCCCATTACTTTATCCAGTTCAGCAAAGAATTCTATAAAATGAAAAACACTCATTAAGTGATGTACACTGCTTTAAAATTTTTAGTCTAGACTATAAAATAGTATTCTTATGAAGTAAAAAAAACAACACACCCTCTTATACTAAATTCTCCATGTCTTAGAACAAAACATACCATAGTCTCAAGTTATAAGTTATAAGTCACAAAATATTTAAATTAACTGTATGATTAGGAATTAAATGTTATGTAAGTAAGCATAATTCCGCTGATGACCATTACAAATTGTTAATATGCAGTAAACATTATTAAAATAGAGACCTAGTATCACAATGTACTATTATTACTCAAAATCAATCTCTATGTACTGTTTTAGTATAAGAAGCATGTTTCCCCATAAGAGCTAGATGCCCAGGCCAGGTTGCTCAATAGTTTAGAGTGGGGGCCCGAGCATCAAGGGTCTTAGATTCAATTCCCAGTGAAAGGCACATACCTGGATTGCAGGAGGCAACCAATAGATGTGTCTCTCTCACATTAATGTTTCTTTCTCCTCCCCTGCCCCCCGCCTCTCCCTCCCTTCTACACTCTCTCTCTCTCAAAAAAAAAAAAAATCAATGGGAAAAATATCCTCGTGTAAGATTTAAAAATTAAATTTAAAAGAAATGCTAAAAATCTACTCATTTGTAGTCTCTTTCATCACAAAGTTTCTTACAATATACCTAAAAATCTAATACAAACGTGCTTTCTTATAATATCCAATATGTATAAGATGTCTGGATGTGATCCTGCTATTAATCATCCTAGAACAGAACATCCTGTTTTATTACTTTTATAGTATGAGCAACATTTAACATATTAGAACCATTTAGCTTAGTTTGTGTCACCAGTGTAGTGAAAGGTATTTTTAACCAAATTCAGTACATTCAATATGATTGCTAAGCAATGGAGATTAGCAAATTGATTATCATTAACTCTAAACTAAATGATAAGCTAAAAATGCAGACCAGACACTGATTTAACTAGGCCATAAAAATTCCTTTTATCAATTCTACCCCTCAAAGTTTCTCCAGAGACCATCCTACCTTTTTGTTCTTTGGAAAGCTGCTCAGCTTGGTCCCAAATTTCTGTGGCATAGAGGAAATTAGATGTAACCTGAACATAGCTGGCTGCCATCTGGTGGATCCTGTGTGGAATGGTCACTGAAGAACCACTTGCTGAAGCACTACTGGCCCCAGAAGAATAATTTCCTGAATTGCCTGGCGACAGCTTTGGAGAAACAGGGGAAGGCATCCCAACAACTTTGCTACACACAAAGAAACAGGAAATTTATTCATATGGCTGCAGTGAACATGACAATATCAATGTAATATATGGGCTTTTAGGAAGAGCCCCTATGAAGGTTTTTAAAATTTAAAGATTCTTTCAAACTTGAAGGGTTTCCAGAGAAGTACAATTTCTTTTAAATAAGTACTTCACTCACTAAAGACCACTGTGAATTATCATTTTATCTGAATGCATTGTTTTAATAAATGGCAATAGAATAAGAATTGGGAAAGAAATGCTAGTACTGTAATTTGTAAGTTAGATTGCCTCACTCCCAGTCCAACACTTTTGATGGGCATATATATTTAGGTACTTTTCGAACTGTTTTGTGAAAAGTTGGGTGGAATTAATAATTTAGCACCAAAAAAAATTTGTGGTAGTACATGGGAACATTTTATTTTTAATTCCATAATTTCTGATACTTTTGTAGGTTAACCAAGTTACTTAGAGCTTACAAAGAGATACAGCTTTCCCAATCAACTGTAATCATATCAGGCTTCTGTCGACTAAATATTTTTAAAAACACACGTTGAAAGCTGGCAGGTTCATTTCAGTACTAAAATTTGTGGAAATGCCCAAGATCATAAAAAAAGAAAAGAAAAATCAAACAAAAGTTGGGGCTGGTAGGGGGAGATCTATTTGTTAAGAATATTTTTATGTAGTCCTGGTGTGGCTCAGTGGGTTGAACTTCCCCCTGTAAACCAACAGGTTGTGGTTCAATTCCCAATTCAGGGAACATATTTGGGTTGTGGGTTCATTCCCCGATTGGTGCACACTCCACATACAAGACAAAAGGTAGATGTTTCTCACATTGATTCTCTCAGATTGATGTTTCTCTCTCTCAAATAAATAAAAACATATCCTCAGGTGAGAATTTTTTTAAAAATATATTTTATTGATTTTGTACAGAGAGGAAGGGAGAGAGATAGAGTCAGAAACATCGATAAGAGAGAGTCATTGATCAGCTGCCTCTTGCACACCCCCTACTGGGGATATGCCCGCAACCAAGGTACATGCCCTTGACAGGAATCGAACCCGGGACCCCTCCGTCCTCAAGCCAATGCTCTATCCATTGAGCCAAACTGGTCTTGGCTCAGGTGAGAATTTTTAAAAATTGTTTTTAAAAAGAGAAAAATTTTTATCTGCACTTTTGGCACTATAATTTGGTTAAGAAAATACTTAAGGGCAGAGACAAAATGTCAATTAACATAAACATACTAAGTGAATAAACTTATCATCAAAAAAGATGATTTATGCATTTTTCCTCCTTTTTAGGGGTGTAGGTGGGGTAAAGTGATGTAGAGATAGAGGAGAAAACATAACTATGCCTCAATTATTAAATTCTGACACTGTCAAGACTTTAGTAAGATAAAACCACTGTGATAAAAACCCAAGAAGCTACAGAAATCAACCTGCAAGAAGAATTAAAGTGCTTTAAAAAAAACTCAGATTTCCTCCTCTCTAATCTTTGTAAGATTGTGTTCATTATCCTATTTCAATTTATAAAAAGATAAAATATTTAAAAATACTTAATTAGAGATAATTCTCATTTTTTAAAAGATTGTTATCTTACCATTTTTGGAAATTAGACCCTAAACATTCCACTTATATGTAAAAATAAACTTGTCACAAATAATATTTTATAGAATAAAATTGACCTACCTTCCCAAGCCAGGTGATGGTGCTTGAGAATTATTATAAGAATTCTGTGGAGAAAATAAAATGTAATTAACAAAAATTAAAAAACAACAACACTACTTATGAAGTACTAAATATATTCAAAAGCACTGGGCCAGAGCTGATCTTAAGAAGCCTTGTAAATTAAAATCCAAAATATGTGTGTGTGTGTGTGTGTGTGTGTGTGTGCGCGCGTGCGCATGCACATTTCAAAGTTATAGTTAAGAGCTGGGGTTTTCCGGAGGACTTAGGTGAGACACAAAGAACGAGTAACACTCAGACTGATAAAGAAGAAGTGAGAAGGGAGTCATTACACATACAAAGGCTGTAGAAAAGAGAATATATGAGACCATAAAGTTAAGCACAGGTTTAGATAAGGAACAAGAAAGAGAAAGATCTTGAGGACCTTATAGGTCAGGGTAAGAAACTTGGCTTGATTTTGTAGGCAATGGTAAGCTACTGAAGGATTCCAAATCATTATTAGGGCAGGATCTGAGGAAGATTTATGTGTTGCTATTAAAGGAACAAACAGAAAGACATTTTAGAAAACTATAAGTCATCTAAGGAAAGATGGTAGAAAAAACAAGAGACCATTTTTACAAGTATAAATTAGGTTTCACAATAAAAAGAGCCTACATTTAGTGAAATGTTAAGAGCTACTGAATATTACTACATAGGTTCTACAATCAGATATATGTGCATTTAAAAACTTACAAGAAACCTCAAACTTATTTGAAAGTTCCCAAAAAGCTCCTCCCTCGCCATGGCAGGTAAAACATGAGGGCACTTCTAGAGTGGGGATAGAAGACTATAAATTTTGTCTCCCAGCAAATGGACCCTCCTCTTTGGCACACTTACCTTCAGGTGCTCTGTCAATGTCTTTGAGTACTTCAGAGCATTTTCCTTCTTCAGTTTGAATAGCCTCAGGTACAGCAGAGACTGGCATCTCAGGCTAATCAATGGCGAAAAAAAGGGCAGCTTATTCATAGGACAAAACACTCTGGTCTCATCTGTATAAGCTTTGAATCATGCAAGAGTATAGAATTGGCTCATGTGAGCAGACCAAGGCATAAGGTCAACAGCACTAACTCTTAGGCAAAAACAAAGGATGGCTTTAACACATGCCCTAAAGAGGAGAAGAAGGGACAGATACCTAGGACTAGTTTCCTATCTGTTGACATTCAAAAATTAAAACCTCACCCACAGGACCAAACATGTCATTGTAACATATGCACTTAAAAACTGAGGGGTAGACTCTATAGATCAAATTATAAGTAATCTAAAATTAAACAACAAAAACTAGAAAACTTAACTATAAATATTATAACTTTGAGGAAATATATATAGGCCTTAACATGGCTTCAGTCATTTTCACTTGTACTGGTCTTTTTTGTTTGTTTTTTTGTTTGTTAATCCTCACCCAAGGATATTTTTCCATTGATTTTTAGAGAGTAAAAGGGAGGAGGAGAGACAGAAAGAGAGAAACGTTAATGTGAGAGAATCATATCAATTGGTTGCCTCCCACATGTACCTTGACAAAGGAATCGAGCCTGCAACCAAGGTATATGCCCTTGATTAGAATCAAACCCAGGATCCTTCAGTTGTGGGCCTACGTTCTATCCACTGAGTGAAACCAGCTAGGGCTCACTGGCCTTCTTTTGATTCTTCTATAGTTTCCAGTTTCTTTCCACTATTCAGCCCTTACAGATGTTCCTTCAACCTAAAGACTAAGTTTCCCTATACTCTACTCTTACCATTACTTATACTTTTCTTTCAAACTACTTAATTCAAATACTTGTGATTATTTGATTAATATCTGTTTTCTCACACTAGACTCTATGACAAACAGGACCATGTCAGTTCTACACACAGCTATATGCCCAACTGTTGCCAGGTAAATAACTATAACAAATGAACTGCTACATATCCCTGAAATACAAGCAAACAAACCACATTCTTTATTCTGAGAAAACGAAACATTTGCTTCCCAAGGAAAGGTATTATATGAATGGAGAGAGAAGATACAAAAAAAAAAAGAGCCTGGAAAAATAACCATTTAAGACACTATTATTAATTTTATTATTTATTATTTATTATTTATTATTATTATCATATTATAACAAATATTAATATATAACTATATATTGTACATAATAAATATATGATAAATAACATAATAAATATTATAATAAAATAATATAATAATATTATTAATAATATTATTAATACCACTTTCCCAAGACTTTTGTCAAAAGGGCAATGGATCAGAGACTGACAACTATTAACATTTTTCAATTTGAATTTTGAGTTATTTTCTACTTTGCCCATCAAGAATAGATATATGAGTGGGTTATGGAATGTTGATTCAAGAATAACTTTCAGAAGCACATACACAGCACAATTTATTAGGGAACTACCTGACATTTAGCAGAAGTTAGAATACACAACACTTACCAAAGTACTGTAAGTCTTTTATCTGCAGCTGTAGCATCTGGTGCTAAGTAATTCTTTAGCTTCATAGTGTATCTGTGAGTTAAAATAACAAATGACACAGTATTTTAACTTAATCTTCTGACTACCTTAGTCCTTAAAACATTAAAATCTAACCTACATAAAGACAAAAATACAGAAGTATCTAATTCTCCTTATCCAAGGACAATACAGGATTAAACATACTCCTCAGCTCTATTATATAGAGTCATGCTGCTTAACGACAGGGATATGTTCATGTCGTTAGGCGATTTCATCATGTGGGAACACAACAGTGCTCACTTACACACACCTAGATGATACAGCCTACCACTGACCTAGACTACATGGTACAGCCTATTGTTCCTAGACTACAAGCCTGTACAGCATTTTACTGTACAAAACAACACAAGATTAAGTCAAGTGCAAGAGAAAACGATGCAATCAAAAGATGGGGTAAACTACGTAAGATATTTAAGCTACAGCCAGTGTAACACAGCATACTATTTGTTTTACAGAAAATTTTTTTTATGTAAGTAGAAAGAGTATACTTTAAAATAACGATAAGAAGTAAACACATAAACTAGTAACAGTGCCTTCATTAAGTAACATATACATGGTATACTTTTATACGAGACGGGCAAGTGCAGTAGGATTGCTTACACCAGCATCACTATAAACAAATAAGGCATTGTGCTGTGACATTATCACCGATCCACAATGCTAGGCGATAGAAAATTTTCAGTCCGATTATAGTCTTATGGGATCATTATACATGTGGTCCTATCATTGACCAAAACATTGTTATGCAGTGCATAACTGTATAGTTACATCAACCACTTCCTAGATAGACCAGAGAAATAATATTGTCAATGATATGGCAAGTTTTCCCACTTACTTGATGAGCTCCACTGTCTCTGAATACATAGGAAATGGGGATTTGGATTCCTGAGCATTTTTCTCTAATGCATTTCCACATTCAATGAAAGAAACCACAGCATCAAGATAGTATACAGCTTTCTCAAACCTGTCAGACTGAAGAAAGGAGAAAAAAATAACGAGAGCTGCACTGACGTGGGATGGAAACAAACAAGTTAAGATTTAATTAATCTAAATATATAAATATGAAGAGAATATTTACATACCAATGCATCTGCATTGTGCTTTAGCTTTTTTGCTTCTTGTAAATAATGGTCTGCTGAATAACTTCTGCAATGTAAATTGTTATTGTAAATAATGTAGTAAATATTTTTCATAAGATGACAATAGTTCATTTATTAGTCTAGTAATAATTAATGTCGTTTTCTAATACTTTTTTAAATCAAATTTATTTAAACAATACAACAAAATTTAATCAACAATATAGTTGCCGTTGTTTTCTACTACTTGTGCCCAATGCTCAGGAAGCATTTTAATCCCTCTGTTGTAAAATTCTTGTGATTTTGATGCAAAAAATTCGGTCAATGCATTTTTTCTTTTTTTAAATATATTTTATTGATTTTGTTCAGAGAGGAAGGGAGAGAGAGAGTTAGAAACATCGATGAGAGTCATCGATCAGCTGCCTCTTGCACACCCCCTTACTAGGGATATGCCCACCACCAAGGTACATGCCCTTGACCGGAATCGAACCCGGGACCTTTCAGTCCCCAAGCCAACGCTCTATCCATTGAGCCAAACCGGTCTTGGCAGTCAATGCATTTTTGAGGCATTCTTCATTATTAAATTTTTTTCCAAGAAGAAAGTTTTGCGAAGAACGAAACAAATGGTAATCGGAAGGGGCAATATCAGGAGAATATGCAGGTTGAGGGAGAACTTCCCATTCCAACTGGCGCAGTTTTTCAGCAGTGATTCTTGCAGTATGCGGTCGTGCCTTATCGTGGTGAAGAATTACGCCCTTCCGATTAATCAGCGCGGGTTCTTTTTCTCTTAAAGCTTGGGCTAACCTTTCCAATTGGGCACTATACACTGCACTTGTGATGGTTTGGTTAGATGGTAAAAGTTCATAATAAAGAATTCCTTTAAAATTCCACCAAACACACAACATCACTTTTTTCGCAAGCAAGTCAGGTTTTGGCGTGGGCTGCGGAGCCTCATTTTTGTCCAACCATTGAGGCCGCCTTTTCAAATTAACATACAGTACCCATTGTTCATCTCCGGTAACAATTTGCTCTAAAACGGCAAACGGTTTTGACGAGAGAGGAGCGAACTGCAAATTGTGACTCTTTGATTATGGTTGTTGTTAGTCAACTCATGAGGAACCCATTTTCCAAACTTTTGGACTTTGCCAAGTGCACGCAATTGATTGGAAATTGTTTTTTGTGAACAATTTAAAGTTGTTGCAAGCTCTTGTTGGGTAATTTGAGGATTTTGCACCAAAAGAGCTTGAAGAGCTTCTTGATCAAAATTGGACACACGGCCTCGACCACTCTTGTCATCTAACGAAAAATTTCCCTCGCGAAATTTCTCAAACCAACGCTGGCATTTTCTGGCGCTAACTGCATCTTGACCAAGAGCACTACAGATGTTTTTTGCAGCCTCACTTGCTTTTCTTCCTAATTGGAACTCGTAAAGCATGCAGTGCCGAATATGCTCTTCATCCGCCATCTTCTTAGCCCTAGTTTTGCAACAAAAACCAAACCAAACACAAACTTTTTCAATTGCACTTCACACGTTCTGTAGATACCAGGTGTTTGAAGGTTATGTCAATACAAGTCAACGCCAAGCAAGATTTTAAACGAATGTTTAAAAACGACATTAATTATTACTAGACCCGATACATCACTAGCATCCCTCAGTTTTCATGCCCTCAAGAAAATGAGCAATTACTAAAACATTTGACTCACTGTTTTCCTGATAAATGTTTATATTGAGCTAAGAGCATAAATAGTACTGGCCAACTCATGGCAAAACAGAAATCAAGCTCCCTAATATTAAATACTAACTTATCCAAGTCGTTTGAGAATTTTAGAGTAAATAAAAGAATAGGAGAAATCTCTTATCAAAATGCAGAGAAAAACCCAACATTATTCTTACATATTTGAGAACGTTCATATTAGCAGCAACAAGGTTCTACCTGAAGACACATCATTCACATCCCCAAAGAGAGTCATAGAATTAACTCAGAGGAACAATACTTGGGGCTAGTGGTGCCTTTCAAAGTAAAAGCCAATTATTCTATAGATCACAGTATTAATTCTTCTAGTCAATGACAACTTAAAATGAATTTCTTATATTCTGACTGACATGATTTCTTGAATGCATAAAAAAATCTTAATTTATCTCACCTGTCATCAAAGGTAAGCTTTGTTCTCCGAGGCTTTGAAGCTTCAGGAGTTGGTGTAGATGTCGGACAGTTAGAGGAGCTATTTGAAGCCTTTTCCTGACAAAAAAAATATAACTATGTTTAAAATTGTGAAGAGATTAAAATTTAAATTAAAAAAATTTCCTTAAAAAAAAATTTTTTTTTTTAAATTTCCTGAGCCAACGGTAAAAAGAAAACAAAATTCCACTGATTTCAATAATTAATTTCCTTGTTATAAAATTTTAAAATTTCAAATTATAAACATCTTTTTTATAGATTGCAGCCATTTTACATAATCAAAATTTTTCATTCTAATATTAGGGCTCTACTACGTGGCAGGCACTGATCTAGGCACATGTTAAAACAAAAGTAAGATACAAACCTAGTGTTAAAATAGCAATACTACTTAAGACAAAATTTACTGGTAATTAGTGTCAATGAAAATAGTAATAAAAATATCTAACATTTCCTGTGTGCTTACTACTTACCAGGCACTAAGTTAACTTAGCCCAGTCATTAATCCTTCAATCCTATGAAATACGTACTACTATTAGAACAGAGTAAAAAGCTGTCTCATGGAGGTCAAGTAACTTGCCCAAAGTTCAAACTGATTTACTTGTAAGTGGCATTCCTGGAATTTGAGTTTTCAATCCAAATCTGACAAATCTGTCAGATTTTAAAAGCCTAGCCACTTTCTCAAACTTTATTCTGCTTCCTATCAATATAACTCTCTATGCCAGGGCTATGATGGCTTCCCCATCCAGCCCTATCTTTAATAAAATGAATATATACTTTCCACAATAAAACATCATAACAAAGGAGAGTTTATCCTACGAATATGTTTTAACATCAGAAAATCCAGTAATAAATAATTTTACAACTGGTACTTAAAATTTATTTAACATGAATCTTATAATCATTTTCTTTCTTTCTTTATATAAGAACTTTTTAGTTCCACCCATTACAGCTTACTTCAAGAATAAAAGTACTGAGATTTGACAAAATACTAAGCTCTTTATAGTAAAGTTTACATGTTTATGAAATGGCTTCCTAAATATTGTATTGCAATGTAATATTACTAAGACAGCTTGTAGATTTATAGTGCCTAGCTTTAGATTTATTGAAAAACTGAAGTTTCTGAAAATTAAAAAAATGTTTTTCCAGATAGTTCAATACTTTCTTATATAAAAATTATTATGTGTGTAATATATAAAATCACTGTGTGGTGATAGGTGTTAAGTAGACTTAACTGTAATGATCATTTCACAAAATATACATATATCAAATCATCATCTAAAACTGATATAATATTATGTATAAAGTATATCTAAATTTTAAAAAGTGATAAACTATAAGAAATAGACAAATCTTATATATTTGTAGAGATAACAGGAGAAGTAAAACACAATTCTCTCAGTAAACAATAATAGAACTGGTAAAATATTGATCAGCATAGAAAAGGTTTAAAAACACGATTAACCTAATTAAATTATATAGATCCCTGCCCCCAATATATGATTCTTTTTAAGCAAATATGTAATATTAGAAAAATCTTCCATATACTTTAAAAATATAAAACAAATCTTAACAAATTTTAAGATTGCCACCATGAAGATTACTCTCCAGTTCCAATGCAATTAAGGTAGGACTAATCAAAAGATAACTAGAAAATCTCTGTATGTTTGGAAATTGAGTAAGTAACTCTTTGACCTAAGATGAAATCACAATAGAAATTAGGAAACATTTTAAATTATGTTATAAAAACATTACATACCAAAACTTGTGCAATGCAGCTAAAACAGTATTTAAAGAGAAATATACACTGAGTGGCCAGATTATTATGATTTCTGAACGCATAATAATCTGGCCACTCTGTGTGTGTGTGTGTGTGTGTGTGTGTGTGTGTGTACACACACATATATATCTGTTTATGAATTCATGCATAGGTGGGGTCCGCCCAACCTGGCCAGGGGAGGGACATGGGCGGTTGGCTGGCCTCACTGCTGGTCGAATTCCTGGTAGAGGGGACAATTTGCATATTAGCCATTTATTATGTAAGATATACACTGAGTGGCTAGATTATTATGCGTTCAGAGATTATAATAATCTGACCACTCAGTGTATAGTCTAACTGCTCATATTAGGGACGGGGAAGGCTTAAAATTAATTTAGAAAGTAATGAAATATTCATCTCTAAAAGTTAGTAAAAAGAATAATAAAACAAAAAGAATAAGAAAGGAAATTATATAGATAAAAGTATGGCCCGGTCAGTGTGACTCAGTGGTTGAGCACTGACCCATGAACCAAGAAGTCCCAGGTTTGATTTTTGGTCAGGGCACAGGCCAGATTACAGTCTCGATCCCCAATGGGGGGGCCTGCGAGAAGCAATCAATTAATGTTTCTCTCTCATCAATGTTTTTATACCTCTTTCCCTCTTCTTTCCTCTCTCTCTAAAATCAATTTTTAAAAAAAGAGTATAAACTAATGAAATAGAAAACAAAATAAATTACAGAGAATCAACAAAAACAAAGACTGTTTTTTGTTTTTTTAAAAGACAAGTAAAATTGATTAGCTTCTGATGAGACTGATCAAGGGAAAAAGAGAGAAGGCACACAGCTAATATTAAGAGCATAAGAGGAACAAAAGTAGAGATGTTACAGATATTAAAAACATAGGGAGACACTACTGACTAGCTATATGTCATTTTAAAAAATTGATATGAGCAAAAATCTAGAAAAAACATAAAATAGAAATTATATGAAATTTTGGGTTGCCATTAATTTTTCTTTAGTTGATATAAGAAATAGCATGTTTTCTAAATAAATTAAAGATTTTTCTTTCATAAACCCATACGTAATTGTTTAAACTGGAAATTGTTAAGACTAACAGTAACTTTAACAACTGCCATAGATCTTGAAATTAAAGTGATCAGGGCCTCTATTTTAGTTTGTCAAATATGCACATTTTGTTTTGTTTTTATAAGGGGTTATAGTTTTTTATTTTTATTTTTTTTATTCTCTAAAGTTTTACATATGCCTCCCCCCCCCATTGCCCCTTTGCCCCTTCCAGCCATTCCCACCCCAAATATCCACATTTGATCCAACAAATATTTCTTGATTACCCAGTAAATTCAACACTATATAAAAAAAACCAAACAAACAAGATACAAATCTCTGCTTTCAAGAAGCTAATGAACCAATAAGGAAGAGGTACAGGCAGCTGAGTTTTATCTATGAGATTAACAGAAGCCAAATGAGCAGGCAAGCTTATTGAATAAGTGCAAAAAAAAAAAAAAAAAAAAAAAAAAGACAATAGGTTTCACAAAATAAGCATATAGGCCTCAAAATCCTACAATTAAAGGAGAAGAGATGAAGAAAGAGCCAAAAAGCAGGTTAGTAGAGATCTAAAGTAGTGAAGGAAGCCAACAGGACACTCAGGTTCCAGAGAATACTAGGACTAACTCTAAACCACTACAGAAAGGTGGCCAGCCAGAGAAAAGGCCTTCTGTAAATTTCCATTTGAAACACTTTGTTCACAGTTTAAATTATTTCAATTTAAAAGACTTAATTACCACATTTAATGAACAGGACTAACTGCCTTCATCTAATTTTTCAACTCTCAAACCTTTGCTACTTAAGTTACAAATAATACAGTGAATTATATTCTTAAAAACATAGGTATTTTCTTAATTTTGTCATAGAGTTTGCTCCTGGATCGGAACAATTTAGAAAGCAATGCAAATAAAGATTTTTATTTATTTGCATTGAGGGTGATAGATCAAGAAGCTTTTTGTCAAAACTGCATTAATTTTCATCCACATACATTAAGAATATTCCCCTACATATGATCATGCTTTAGAAATAATTCCAGTGTTAGCTCAGTTAAAGAATTTTCTTCTTCTTCACAAATCAAAGCCAAATGGTTGCTTTGTAATTTTATGTAATATAACTTGCTTATGAAATTCAATTTTTAAAAACTTGAAGCCAATTTCAAACCATAGAGAAGCAACTGGAACTATTTTTAATTCAATCATAATCAACTGTTTTCCCACAACCAACTCTTCTAATTATGGTTTTCTATCTTAATTATTAGGCATGTAGCCAGCTGACTTGCTGCTTTCATGGTCTTAGATCACTGCATTAGTTTATTATCAAGAACATGACATTCTAAGATTAAAAATGCACAGATCTATAAATTTTATGAGATGTTTACAAAATTTTCAAAGTAAGAAGTCACATGGCAATGAAATTGATTTTCAAGACTAAGGCCCCCAGTGTCTTACCTTGGCCTCCTTAGAGCTACTGGAAGTCTTCCCTTCAGTTTTCTTCTGCTTTGACGTGGAGGAACTGTTTTTGCTGCTGCCACTATTCTCCTTGTTGCTGTTATTACTTGACTTTAGGGAAGAAGACTGACTAATGGTCCTCTTTCGAGAGCCATGCTCCGTTTTTGGATCTTTTGAAGGAACAGGCCCAGCAGGAGAAGGCAACAAATCTTTTTCTTTTGCCACACTCTGTTTAGATGACCTGCCAAAACCAAACAAATGCCCTCATTTCTCCACACAGTCATAGGGGCAACAGGGTTTTTTCACTTCTCTTTGCTTTTAAGACAAATTTGCTGTTACCTATGAGATAACTAGGACATATGGTTTTTGCAAAACAAATCTGTAAATTTCATGAGTACGTGCATCTTGCCTGGCTTTTCCCTGCCATGGTTATATACCAACTAGAGGCCGGTGCATGTAATTTGTGCTGGGGGTGGGGGAGGTTCCCTCAGCCCAGCCTACACCTTCTCCAATCCGGGACCCCTCGGGGGATGTCTGTCTACTGGTTTAGCAGTCGAGACATCCCTCTCACAACCCTGGACCACTGGCTCTTAATTGCTTATCTGCCTGCCTACCTGGTCACCCCTAGTTGCTCCCCACTTGCAAGCCTGGTTCTCCCTAACTGCCCCCCCTGCTGGTCTGGTCACCCCTAACTGCCCTTCCCTGCTGATCGGGTCACCCCTTACTGCCCCCCCACCCTGCTGCCAGCCTGATTACCCCCAATTTCTCCCCTACCAACCTAATTGCCCTCAACTGCACCCCCCCCCCCCAATGGTCTGGTTGCACCTAACTGCCACACTCCCCCGCCAGCCTGATCACCTCTTACTGTCCCCCTTGGCAGCCTGGTTGCCCCGAACTGCCCCCCTCTGCTGGCTTGGTCACCCCTAACTGCCCCCTCCCTCACCAGCCTGGTTGCCCCATGAAGCCTGCTGTTCAATTGTTTGGTCGCCCCCTGCTGGCCTGGTCATAGGCAGCCATCTTGTCAGGGTGTGAGGGTTAATTTGCATATTACATCTTTATTATATAGGAGGATGCTTAACCCTTGGCCTGTCATGCAACAAGTATTCAATAAATACTAGTTGAATAACAACAAAAAGATGGATGGTGAATGAAGATATTAATGCTCATGAATTACCAGTCTCTTGCAAGTTACAGATAAACTTATCTAGCCAAAAAGTTGCAAAACTTTACTTTCTTACTATACTCAACTCTAACTCCACTAAAAAAAAAAAAAAAAAAAAAAAAAAGGCAGAGAAAAAAGGTGAATAAACCTTAAACGCTTTCCATCCCTGTTAGCTAAAAGCAAAAGCTCCCACTATTTGGTGTATATGTATACATGTATACGATATATACTTGCTAAAAGGAACATTCTAAGAGCATATTAGGAAGCCCAATAGCAAATTACATACATATATTAACACATATGTAACATGTTTTAGGGACATACTCTCTGTTGCTGGGTGGCTTGTGGCCTGCTAAATTCTTGTCCTCTGTTTTGGGTTTCTTGATGTCATTGGCTCGGTTATCATCTTCATTCTAGATGAAAACAGAAAGAGCTGCTAGGTTTGAACTTTATAGATTCCAGAACTAGTCACCCCCAAACAGTTTATCCCTGAAAAACTTCAGTAAGAGGACAAATGTAAAGTAATTCATTTAAATAATGTTTAGTGAAGTAGGTTTTAAGGTTCAGTAGTACCGTATTTTTTGAACCATAAGATGCACTTTTTTCCCCCTAGAAGTGGGGGGGAAAAGTCCCTGCGTCTTATGGTCCAAATATAGCCTACACATATACTTTAAAAAAAAGTTTTTTTACTTGCCCGGCTCTGTGTGGTCTCTGTGTGCTTGCCCGGCTCTAAAATGGTTCTAAATGCTGCTGTTTACTTTACAGGGTTGGTTACATGTGTTTATGACTGTGATGTTGGGTTTTAATGCACATAAAATATTTTAGGACACTATTTGTTTCAGAATCTCTTTTTCTTCATTTCCCTTCTCTAAAAACTGGTGCGTCTTATGGTCCGAAAAATACGGTAATCTCCTATTTTATATAGACAGAGCCCAAATATTAAAACAAATTTCCTGTAGTCTTTTGGGGCAGGGTGTGTGAAATTAAAATTAAGATATAATTCACATACCATAAAATTCAATCTTTAAAAGCACACAATTCAATGGCTTTTAGTATATTCACAGAGTTGTACAACCAGGGCAACAACCAATTTTAAATCATTTTCATCATCTTAAAAAAGTCACCCTGTACTCATTAGAAGTCACTCCCTATTGTCTCCACCTCCAGACACTAGCAATCATTAATCTATACATTTTGTCTTTATAAATTTGCATATTCTAAACAGTTCATGTAAATGAAATAAAAAATTGATGCCATTTTGTATCTGGCTCCCTTAGTATAACACTTTATTTATTTTAAAATATATTTTTATTGATCTCAGAGAAGAAGGGAAAGAGAGGGAGAAATAGAAATATCAATGATGAGAGAAAATAATAATTGATCAGCTGCCTTCACCACAGCCCTACAGGACCAGGGCTGACTTACAAGTATTGATATAGAAAACTTGGGAGGAAATTATAAAAGTGAAGTTTAATGGAGGGGAGGAGATAAGGGGTACTCCTTTTAGAGGAAGGGGATATTTTCTTGTAAATAATATAGTTTTAAGCAAAAGAGTAAAAAGGCTGATATGGCTCAGTTGACTGAGTGTCTTCCCATGTGCTAAAAGGTTTCCAGTTCATTCAATTCCTTGTTTGGGAACATACCCAGGTTTTGGGTTTAGTCTAAGGTGACCAGACATCCCGCTTTTGGCAGGAGAGTCCCAATTTTTAACAATTTGTCCCGAGGCATTTTAAAACTGAAAATTTCCTCATGAGAACTGAAAAGATTAGGCTGTTTTTCTCAAAGAACCTCCATTATATAGGTAAGTTGTTAAACTCTTCCCATTATATGTCTATTATCCTCCAATCATAGATACTATGAGTTTCCACATTTCCTGTATCTAAAAAAAGCTGACCTTAACTATATATAATACACCAAGCCTCATTTCTAAATCCAAATTATCTTGGAAGTATTTAGAGAGCTATATGCCAGCAGATGTTTTTAGTTCTGAACTTGCAGATATGGGTGTTTGAAAAGGGAAAAGAGCTGGGCAGAGTTACATACAGTGGATTGGTGAAATTCTTAAGGATGTGTCAAAACCGGTAAGACAATGTTTTAGCTGGAATTAGTAATTTAAAAGACGCAACTTGGTCTGCATATAAGAGAGAAGTGTGACAACCTGGAGAGTACATATCCCAACTAAAGACATTTCAAACCAAAATTTGAAGGACCCTGTGAAGGCCAGTTTGCAATCTCTGCTTCACTCTCCCCTCTACACTGGCCAGCACACGCTGGACTGGTCCATTTCTGTCCTAATCAGAAACTGCGCTGCTTTACAAAAGGAGACAGGCAGAGGCACAGTGGTCTTCAGAAGACTGTTCTATCTGCAGCCTCAACTGAGCCTTGGGTTAGCCTCCATTTCTCTCATAGCTATGACTCAACTAGTCATTTTTGGCTGAGATTTCCACTGCATTTCAGATTCTGATGTTGAAAAACAAAAACCACCACCAACTCTTTACAAACCTTATGTTTCCTCTTGCCTTTACTGGAAACTTTTTCTGAGGCTTGTTTCTGAGCCTCTCTTGTGTGCTTCTCCGGCACATTTTTCTTTTCCCCCTTCGGTGGCTCTGTTTCTTTGTAAGGCTTTCCTGGTATTCTAGTCAAGAGATTCAGGTCAATCTTCACAATGAGTGGATACCTATCATCAGGCTCACTAAGGGGTGAAAGAAGTTCCTTCTCTTCCATAGGAGAGAACATTCGTTGCCGGAAAAAGCTATCTTCTTCCTCCACTGAGGAGGGTTTAACGGGAGTCCTATTACTCTCAGGGTACTTAGGAGTTTGTGAGGAAGGAGGAAGGCTCTCGCTTTCATCCGAATCTGAGGATGAGGTATCTGTTTCTATGATTTCCCTTGATTTCTGGGAAGATTTAGTAGTTGACTTGTATTTCTTTTTCTCTGCTGAAGGGCGAGGGGAAGATTTGGACTCCTTTTTTATATTGGGTTTCCTGGAGCCTTTGGTGGCTGCTTTGTGTCTGCTGGAGGGTATGCTAGTAGCCATGTCTACGGGGGTTTCGCTTTCTATCTTCAAACCTCCTCGAGGTTCTTCAGCAGCCGTCTTCTCGGTCTTTTTGGGTTGTTTTTTGCCTACAGTTCTCCTCTGTGTTGTACTGTCACTCTGTGCGGGAGACTTCTGCCTCCCACGCCCACTTTCTGATCCCTTTTGAGCAGTTTTGGAATCTCTTCCAGGAGTAGCGGAACTTGTTTCTTTAGGTCCACCTGGGTCAGTGTAGCTATTCCCAGTGCCCTGTTCTCGGCCTTCCTTTTTATAGCCTTGAGATGATGGGATGTTACTGTCCACAGAAGAAGCTGGTGACACTTTATGTGGGTTCACTTTATTCAACCAGTTATCAAGTTGCCATTTGTTTGTTGGTGGTGGTTCAGGCTGAAAAACAGAGAAATAAGTATGCTTTTTTTCTATACTGAAGCTTTTCCCTCCTTTACAATCTCAGGAAGAGGAAAAACACTATGGCTAACGCCTCAAAGATTATTTGTTTTTTCATAGTTCTGTGTGAACCAAGGCAAAGGGCTGAATATTGACTCTCACATCTAATCACCTGAATGAGAAGATATAAGCTGAATTACATACATAGACTTTAAATACTAAGTATTCCTACCAGGAATCCATCTTTAAATGCAAAATTTTAAAAAACCATATAATAACCAGAAAGTAAACAAATGATGTAGGTACCAACAGAGATTTTAAATCACATTTTATCAACTTACAGTTGATAGCCATATACTATCAACCTATAGTATAGTCTTATACTGTAAGACTTTTTATCTACAATGACTACATAATATAAATTAACATATGAAGAAACAAAAGTAACGACCAAACAAACAAAAAAATCCAATAGTTTCATGACCTGAAATATGACCTCAAGTAGTTCATAACTAGACCAAATGTTTATTCAAATAACAAGAACACTGAAGTACTAAGTTTTCCTACAAGATAGTTCAATTTCTTTTTGTCAGAATATATAACTTTCTTGCCTTCATTTTTTATATTTGAGTCAGGTTTCGACAGGCATCACCACGGGCCTTAAAAGGGCCTACGGAAGGTACCCCGCCTCCCCTCACCTCAGGAGATGCACTCTGAGATGGCTCATTTGCCTCACTGTCACTGGAACTGCTTTCACTCTCTGAGTCAGATCCAGAGCTGCTTTCAGATCCACTGTGGCTGCTAGAATCATCCCTGGAGTTATCTGCTCCTTCACTATTATGGTGTGAAGGTTCAGAGTTACTAAAAGAGATAAAACATATAAATGACCAAACGTTTCTTTTCTTTTTTACAATGACAACAGGAAAACATTCAAATCTGGCAACCAATTTTAAGAAATAAGAGAATGCCTACCTTCCCGGTGTACTCCTTGGCACTGTCTTGTCACAATCCTAAAATTAAAACATGAGAAGAAATCCATCTACTTAATGTGAACAATATGTGAACGTTCATTAAAAAACTGGTTTCTCTAATATATGCATCAATGTTTACTTAACACAACATACTGTTTTAAACTAAAAGTAACTAATTGCCAGGATGAGAGGAAAAGCTTTGTTAATAGTTCTTGTCAACAATCTAATGCTTCATGAGTATATTCTGATCCCTGATAAGTATTAAGAAAAAGCCAATTTCTGTCCTGGCCGGGTGGTTCCGTTAGCTGGAACACGGTTTCACACACCAAAAGGTTTCAGGCTTGATTCCCGGTCAGAGCACATGCCTAGGTTTCAGGTTCGATCCCAGGTTTGGGAGCATACGGGGAGGCAATGGATGGATGCTTCTCTTTCTAAAATCAATAAAAATATGTCCTTGGGTGAGAATAAAAAAAAAAATTTTTTTTATTTAATGGAGGTGTAAAGATAGAGCAGAAAAGTACAACTTTCCAATGTTGGAAAGCAGGAATTAACTTATTTTTAAATAACTGGATCATAAATGTATTTTCAATTAGAATTCTTATTTTAAAAAAATAATGAAAACAAATACTGTATGAGAATGGCAAAATCATGTAGTAGTGGACACACCTGTTCCCCATCACTGTCTTCACTGCTGCTTAGCTTTAAGTCATCTTTTAACATACTAGAGGGAAAAGGCAGAAAGGGTTATTATTTTTGGAACAGTTTATCATGGCATACCAGAGTATTAAATATCTACTAAGAATTCTACAAATAATCACTGTGATAGCCAATGAGTCAATTGAAAAAACAAAGAAAAGAATCAGTAAGTCTTATTCTGTCTGTTACTCTGTTCATATTCAGAGTAACAATTGAGAAATAAGTAATTTAAAATTTCAGAAACTCCAACTTTTCCATAAGTAATATATTCATTTTTCTTTTCTAATTAAACAAAAGCCACCTTCTAGAAACTCTTATACTCATTTTTGTTATCTCTAATTTTTCTCTAATTGTATATACACATTAACTATTAAAAAAATTATCATATTCATACCCAACAGTCCACTGAGAGATATAGCTACTAAAAAGAAGGAAGATAAAATAAAAGCACCAGCAATTCTCTTTCATTGTCCCTAATGTTCTATAAAGAGATCTGTACAATTAAATAATTGTGTAAACCAGAACACAAAAGTCAAAGTTGTAGTTCACTATGAAAGATGAGTGTCCTGTATAGAAGTAATGATTATGGGTAAGAAACTTTGCTATACCATAAAAATGACCATGTATATGTTAAAAATAAATTCTATGTTCCAAATCTTCCTTGATCAAAATTCAAATAAATTCAGAAAACAAAAAGACATATTTTTCTTAAGGTAATAAACATCAAAATTAAATTTAAAAACTGAGCCCAGCTACCATAGCTCTGTGGTTGGGTGTCTCCCTATAAACCAGGTCACGGTTTGATTCCCAGTCAGGGCACAAGCCCGGGTTGCAGGCTCGATCCCCAGTGTGAGGCATGCAAGAGGCAGCTGATCTATGATTCTCTTCATTGATGTTTCTCTCTCTCTCCCCCTCTCTCTTCCCCTCTGAAATCAATGTTAAAAAAAAATTAAAATGTGAGTAACAGACCATAGAAAACTCCTTGTCTTTTTATAGAAGAGGAAAAAATAATACAAAGATTAGGGAGAACTACAACTGGAAAATTTTAATTTCTCATTACTAGTAGTTCCATTACTTTTCTTTTAAACTTTCATGATAGTCTCCACTCAGTGGGAGAAATTTTTTTTACTCTAATAAGTACTTACACTATCCACTCAAAGCTTAACATGAGTTTCTAAATCTGACCCCAAATTCTGATTATCTCATACAAAAATGACATAGAAACAAAGTAACCAAATGATAATAGAATTAAATGTTTTAAGGCTGGCTCAATTAAGTGGGACAGAAAAAAAGTTTTCTTTTGGACAAGAGCTTAGTGCATTTCATGACTGATTTCCTATAAGCAAATAACTTACTTTGAATTCCCCCCAGCCTTTATGATTTAATAATGCAGCTCAATGAACCTATTCACATGTGAATATGCTAAAGCTTTTACCAGACTACTCAATGTCCTGCTTGCTTTTTCCCTCAGTAACCAAAGTGACATGCACCTATATGGTAAGCCCCCATTAGTTCTTTGCATATGAAAATAGGAATATAATTTGAATTCTTCAGCAGTGAAGTGGGACTGGTTGCATTTATATATTTTCATTCTCACTCAGGTCTCATTTATGGTCATCTAAAGAGGCTGAGATTATTAGTATTAGATTGTAGTTATGGCATAAAGCTGACACTATTTCTGGCCACAGTTTCTTTAGAACTTTCTTTTATTCATGCAAATGACTTGTGGTCTCAGAAATTGAGGAGTTCATTATTTTTCAAAAAATTTAAATTCTTTATTGTTTAAAGTACTACATAAGTCACCCTTTCCCCCCATTGACCTCTCCTGTGCCACTCCCACCCTCTAGCACATGCCCTCACCTCCCTACTATCTGTGTCCACTGAAGGAGTTAATTCTGGAATTTATTATCATTTGATATACTACCCTATTAAATTTTGATGTTTTCTCCACGTTCTGCCTACAAAATGAAAGTAGGGAAACTTGCCGAAACCGGTTTGGCTCAGTGGATGGAGCGTCGGCTTGGGGACTGAAAGGTCCTGGGTTCGATTCCGGTCAAGGGCATGTGCCTTGGTTGCGGGAATATCCCCAGTAGGGGGTGTGCAGGAGGCAGCTGATCGATGACTCTCTCTCATCAATGTTTCTAGCTCTCTCTCTCTCTCCCTTCCTCTCTGTACAAAATCAATAAAATATATTAAAAAAAAAAAAAAAAAAAAGAAAGTAGGGAAACTTAATACCTACTACGTTGTTTTAATATGCTACATTTAGAGATTAAATAGAGGGACTACTAAAAAGAATCCTTTCTTTTTTAGTGTCTTCATTAAAAACAAATGATCAGCACACACTCAGCACAAATACATCCCCAAGAGATGGAAATAAAATCTGTAATCTCAGAGCAGAGGTAAGCAAACTATGGCCCACAATATTTATAAAGAAAGTTTTATGGAATGCAGCCATGGACTACGTTCATCGATACCCATGATTTATGGCAGCTTTCATGCTATGATGGCAGAGCTGAATAGCTGAGATGGAGACCATCTGGATCTTAAAACTTAAATGCCTAATTATTTCACTCTCTGGCCCTTTACATAAAAGTTTGCCGACCCCTGCCTTAAAAGATAAAGTACATATTTCTAAGTGTTGTTCTAAATATCCAGATACTACATGTAGACATTTAGAAAAAAAGACAAACATTAAACTTATTAAACAATAAACTTACGATTTAGATTGATGCCCATTTGAGGTTTTAGAAGAAGGATTATATCTTTCTAGAATAAAAAGAAGACAGAAATCAGCAACTAAACTAGGGCTATATACTATAGATTGTAAAATATCAAAATACCTTCAAGGAAATATAAATCAAAATGACAAGATATAATTCTTCATTCATCAAATTTGTGACACTTTAAAGTCCAATAATATGAGATACTAGTGGAAATAGACATGCTCATATACTGTTGGTAGAACAATAAACTCATGCAATCTTTTTGGAGGGCAATCTGATAATATCTAGTCAATACTGTCAAATGCACATGTCCACTGACTTAGCAATTATGATAAAAAAAATTTACCTTACACGTATATCTGGAGGAATACATAAATATAAACACACACATGGATGTTTATTATAATATAGTTTGTAACAGCAAAATCTGGAAACAAATGTCCCTCAAGAAGGGACTAAATAAATTATGGTACTTTTATACAATATAAACACAATTTTAATGCTAAGAAAAATGAACTAGAGCTTTATACTGATACAAAAACAGCTATAAAATAAATTAAGTAAACAACACAGGTAATAAAGAGTAGGTGCAGCTTATGATCCCATTTGCCAATAGTTAATTTTGGGGAGAGATAATGGGAGTTTTTTTTTGGGGGGGAGTAGAACTAAGAATGAGATATTCTTAAAAGGTTTAAAAGAGAAAATGTAAATTCTCTGCTCTATTTTCTATATATTCACAATGCCAGGTCCCTTTTTCCTATAACTACAGCTTTAATGCTGAAATAAGAAATAGATATATAAACTTTGTTAATATTAAAAGGGATAGTCATCTAGTTTCGATTTAAGATCACTAAAGGTAACACAATAAGTATCAAAAGTTCCATATTTTTAGCTCTCAAAATAGCTTATTATCAGTATAAATCTATCTTACTTAAGAAGGAATTGCTCTTAACAAAGATAATCTTAGTTTTGTTACAGAACTATATAATGAAGCCTAGACATTTGCTACAGTTGCTGACCTTATCCTAACCTTACCACCAGCCATCAGATCTTGGGACCATGCTTGAATTCCCTAAGGCTATCTTCCTCTCAAGGAGGTGGAGGGGGATTGTGTAGCAGACAGCAGACTTTCTTCCCAGACAAAAAGAATAAACAGAAATACAAATAGAAGAAGATCCACTGTAAGCTACCGTGACCCCATGGAATTTTGCTGTCGTAGAACCAAGTATCTTCATAAGAAGATGGAAAGACAGAATGGCTCTTGTTTTGATAAGATTTCAATCAAATTGAATTCATGAACTTTGTAGTTCAAGTACTTAATAATAAAGTTTTGATCTCGAATGATCCTTAATTCTTCATTTTTTAAGCATATCAAGATTCAGTTGAACCCATTACTAATCATCAGATGACAAAACTGGGATAAGATATGCAAAAATTTATTAAAGCAATATATACTGTGACCATGAGCTAGGAAAAGTTCAAGAAAACCAAAAGTAAAAGAAATACTCACTTTGTTCTCCAGGGCCAAAGTTGGACTGCTGAGTCTCCTATAATAAATGGGATATAAATTATATAGTAACATTATATGGAAAAGTTTTATTAGTGAAAAATGCTTCAAATTAAATTATTCAATTCCAGGTAATTCAATGAAAAAGTATGTTGAATTCCCAAGAATACATAAAAGAAACACAAAAAAATTTAATGACTCCATCTGATTGGCCTCAGCAATTCCACAGTTAATAATGAACTTTCCCAGAGCTTAATAGAAAAAGCAACCTAATAGTGTTTATCATTCATTTCTTTTCAGCACCATCCACAGAACTCATATCCTAATTTAGAGGCCTGGAAAAGCAAATAATTTAAGATTCTTGATCTTAAAAAAGTGTTTAATTCTTTTCTTTTTAAAAAGGTAATACCAAGACCTGTATACCAGGGTAAATGGCTGTACAACCTATACAATCTCAAAAAAATACCACTTTTACAGACTAAAAAAACCCAAATGGTATTTCCATGTAATTTTTCTCCCTCTCTCTGCTTCCAGAATCTTATAATTAAAAACTTGAAGAAACTGTCATATACTTCTTTATATGCCCTATACCAGTGGTCGGCAAACTATGGCTCAAGAGCCACATGCAACTCGCAAGCTGCGGTTTGCAGCTCTGTTGACTAATGAGTTTGCCAACCACAGACCTAGACTCTTGATTCCAATAATTACAGGCTGTTGTTGTTCCTTGTGATTAAGCCCCTATTCCAGTGGTCGGCCAACTCATTAGCAGCAAACCTCAGCTCCCGAGCAGCATGTGGCTCTCGAGTCGCAGTTTGCCGACCACTGGTATAGGGCATATAAATACTCACACGGTGCCCAGTACTCAGGAAGCACCAGTAAAAAGAAAGTCAAAATGTCACTATCGTTGAAACACGAGTTTCCAAACTCAACTTTTACAATCAGAATAGCTGTCTCACATGTGTAAATTGTCCATTTTTCTAGGTTAAGTCTGAAGTATACCATATAGTACTGAAATCACATAAACATCCCTAAATGCCTATTTAAAATAAACACAATTGCCCAGCCAGAGTGGTTAGGTGGTTAAGCATCAATCTATGAACCAAGAGATCATAGCTCAATTCCTGGTTGAAGCACATAGGTCACACATGTCAAACACAAGGCCCGCGGGCCAAATCCGGCCCGCCAGGCCTTGCAATGTGGCCTGCACCGCGCTGTCATCACTGCACTCCGCTGCGTTCCATCACAATGACGCGCGGTGACATAGGAGGCTTGTGATCTCGCCCCATGCGCATAGATAACAAGTCACGCGAGATTCAGGAGGCGTGACCTATAGTCCGGCATCCGATGTGGTTGTGCGGGTGGCAGAGCAGAGGAGAGAGTGAGTGTGCGGGCATAAAAAATACACAGCAGAAGCTGCCAGTTCCTGGCATAAAGTGCAGGCATAAAAATCGCAACAGAATCTGCTATCTGTACCCAGCCAGGCATTTATTGACTGACTTTTTTTTCTCCACTCCATCTGCCAAATCAAGCTATCCCTGTGCAGTTTTCAACTTTTTCCTTCTAACGCAGATTTCCAATAAACTACATCTTTTACTGCCAATATTGATCCCAAAATGTCCAGGAAAAGAAAAATTGACGGTGAAGGCAGACAATTTAATGACAAATGGGAAAATGAATACATCTTTGTGCTTAGAGAGGGCAAACCAGTGTGTATATTGTGTTATGAGACAGTGTCGGTGATGAAAGAGTACAATATACGTCGTCATTTTGACACCAAACATAATGTTAAGTATGGCAAATATACTTTGGAAGAAAAGCATAAAATTGTTAAAGAACTAAAAGGCAAACTACAATCACAGCAGCAAATGTTTACAAAGGCTACAGCGAAAAATGATGCTGCAGTGAAAGCAAGCTTTATAGTGGCTGAAGAAATTGCCCGTACTTCAAGGTGTTTTTCAGAGGGTGCCTTTTTGAAGCAATGCATGCTAAAAGTGTGTGAGCAAGTATGACCAGACCAGATACAGAGTTTTCAAAATGTCAGTTTGTCAAGAAACACCATTGCAGATAGAGTTCAAGAACTCTCAGGAAATCTATCATCACAGCTGGCCGAACAGGCATGCAGTTATCTCGCTTTTTCACTTGCTATCGATGAAAGCACAGACAACACTGATACAGCGCAGCTGTCCATCTTTATACGTGCTACGAAGACCGACCTCTCTGTCACTGAGGAACTTTTGGATGTAGCTGCCATGCATGGGACGACGACTGGTAGAGATATATTTGAGGCTGTGGAGAAATCTATAAATAATTTTAAATTACCCTGGGAAAAGTTGGTGGGGCTAACTACCGATGGCGCACCTTCAATGTGCGGAGAAAAGGAAGGCTTGGTTGGACTAATGAAGGAAAGAATGCAAAAAAGTCACTGCCACACACCCTTGATTACTTATCATTGCATTATCCACCAAGAGGCTATGTGTGGAAAAGTTCTGGACATGAATGACATAATGACCACAGTCATTAAAACTATTAACTTTATACGGGCACGTGGCCTGAATCATCGCCAGTTCCAGCAGTTTTTACAGGAGGTGGGTGCAGAGCATGGAGACGTGCCATACCACACAGAAGTAAGATGGCTGAGCAAGAGCGCAGTCCTCAAAAGATTTTTTGAGCTCAGAGAACAAATTGCTTTTTTCATGGAAAGTAAAGGAAAGCCCTTGCCTGAACTGTAGGATTCCCCCTGGCTATGTGATTTTGCTATGATGTGTGACATATGCGAGCATCTCGCCCAACTGAATCTGAAGCTGCAGGGACGCAAACAAGTCATCACGAAGATGTCTGACATGATCACAGCATTCCAGCGTAAACTTCAACTATGGAAGTCCCAACTGGAACAGGACAATCTTGCCCACTTTCCCGTTTGTTTGAGTATCTCAACCACTATTTCTGGTACTTTTCCTTGCAGTCGGCTGGCTACCAAAGTTAGCCGTTTACTAAGTGAATTTGAGCGGCGCTTCTCTGACTTTAGAACACAGCACTCAGGCTTTGACATCTTTGCCAATCCTTTTACAGTTGATGTCAACAATGTGCCCCATCACCTTCAGATGGAGATAATCGAGCTTCAGTCTGATAGTGGCCTGAAATCAAGGTTTCAGGATGTTGAAATTGAGGACTTCTACCCTCTACTGCCCCCTGACTCAATGCCAGAGCTCCAACTTCATGTATTCTATCCATGTTCGGGAGCATCTATCTTTGTGAACAGATGTTTTCAATAATGAATCTGAACAAAAACAAGCACAGATCACGCATTACCGATGACAACCTCCATGCTGTTTTGCGGGTTGCTACAGCCCAAGAAATAAAACCGAACATTGACTCATTGATCCGGGGAAAACGGTGTCAGACATCTAGCCAGAAAACAAAACAATGAGCATTTTAGGTACATTCCAATATTACTGTTTTGCTTGATACCAATATTACTGTTTTGCTTGATAGCATGTGAGTTGGTTAACAGCACTGTTAAGGAAAAGATTGTTCCACTCATTTTAAATTCACATTTCTGGTTAACATTGTCAGTTTATGACTGTTCAGTAAACCATTCGGCCCGCGATTTAGGCTGGATTTTAGATTTTGGCCCCTTCTCTGATTGAGTTCGACACCCCTGACATAGGTTGTGGGCTCAATCCCAGTAGGGGGCGTGTAGGAAGCAGCCAATCGATTCTTTCTTATCATTGATGTTTCTCTCTCCACTTCCCTTTCTTTCTCTGAAATCAATAAAAACATATCTTTAAAAAAATTAATTAAATAAGCACAGTCTTCCTTTAATGACATAATTATGTGTGAAAGAAAAATCCAAACTGTATGAAACTTAAAAATATAGTTTGCTATTAAAAAAAGTTATATTCAAGAAGGGTACCAAGACCACCTAATGGTGAAAGAAGAATCATTTCAACAAATGGTGCTGGGACAACTGAACAGTCATATGCAAAAGCATGAAGTAGGACGCTTACTTCAGATATTAAAAAAATTGAATCAAAGATTTAAATTTAAGCGCTAAAACTACAAAACTATTAGAAGATAACGTAGTGCCAAATCTTAATGACTTTAGATTTGACAAAGAATTCTTACATATAATACCAAAAGCACAGGACACAAAACAAACAGATAAATTAGACTTCATCAAAATGAAGAACTTTTGTGCTTTAAAAGACACTATCAAGAAAGTGCAAGACAACCCACAGAATGGGAAGAAAATATTTGCAAATTATATTATCTGATGAGACTGATATCTACAATATATAAAGAGCTCTTACCACTTAATGGTAAAAATACAAATAATTTAACTCTCTTGGGTCCTCACTTCCAAGATAACTAAGAATAGAAGGAACAATAATCATGCCAAAAAAGGCCACAAGCATGTGCAGCCTATTCATGGCACTAACTGCACTGATACATGCCTATGGATCAGGCCATTACAAAGTTCCTCATTCAGTTAGGATGACTCAGTGGTTGAGAATCAACCTATGAACCAAGAGGTCATGGTTTGATTCCCGGTCAGGCCATATGCCCGAGTTGTGGGCTCGATCCCCAGTGTGGGGTGTGCAGGAGGCAGCTGATCAATGATTATCTAACATTGATGTGCTATCTCTCTCTTCCTCTCTGAAATCAAATAAAATATATTTTAAAAAGTAATTAAATTTAAAAGAAGTTAGTCATTCAAAATATAGGAGAGGCCATGGCTATTAGGGACATTTCCAAAGGGAGTATCACTGATGCCTATGTGCTTTTCAAGCTGTATGTAAAACTATATTACTGTGTGAATTGTGCCATTCATAACAAGGCAGTCAGGAGTCAGTCTTGTGAAACCCAGAAACACCCCCACACTGATTTAAACTTGCGAATGCTGCCCCACGACCTCCACCAAGGCTCATGCAAGGAGCTAAGCCCTTAAAGACTAAAAGAAAAGTTATCTAGAAAAAATGAAATGGAAATTCTATATTGTTTTTAAAAAAGACAACTGAATTGAAAAATGGGCAAAGGATT